AAATGTTGACTTTGAAGACATGATTGAAAAATTTGCATCATGGAAAGCAAGGAAAATGCTGCTTCAAGCCTAACAGGCACCTTCCTCATTTCCTTGGCTTCCACTTGTCTTTTCACAGTACAAATGCAATAACTTAAAATCTATCTTCCTGTGGTACCATTATGCTCTCATAGTTTCCCCAATGAATTTAAAATATTCCTACCATAGACCATTTTACTTACATTATACAAAGTGTTATCCTCATCTCTGTTGCTTCTAGTTCCACGTGCCATGCCTCTTCTGGATGTCTCAGTTATTTCCTTTTAACTCAGCTCTCCGAGTTTTGGTTCACCACTGCTGTGGCCTGGTATTGAACTCCCAACTCATTGGGTCTAGTCACTGGATCTAAGCAACATCTTTATCGACTGGGCCATGTGTCCTTGAGACAGCCGAAACATTGTGATTATGGGAATGAAGATGAGGATAACAATCCAAATAATGTAAATAATGTAAGTAATAATAATACCTGATCTCAGAGATATAGACAGATATGGATCATTTTATTGATATGGAAATGCTAAAGATGATTATGTAGCCCCATAATGAGTTAAAAAATTATCTTTTTTTGGTGCAATTATATCATTTTTATTTTCTCAATCTAAACAGAAATTAAAAAATATGATTGAGGACCTAATTTTGTAATAAGTGTTAAGAGAATTCGTTATAGGAGTGCAGTGGCATATCAATGACAAGGGTGCCACTTGCACTATGACGTCACTGAACAAAAGATTTGTAGTGTAATATGAATTAAGCCCTAAATCATTTGACATTCAACTGTTGGTGTGGAATGTTAACAGTGACAGTTTTATTCTAAACTCGATGTTCAGTTGCAAATAAATTTGCATCAGTCAAAACAAAGAAGGTGAATTTTCAGGTCTAACTGGAACCTTCTTCGGTTTGTTGGTTTCCACTTCGAAAATGTCAGCTATGATCTTCTTTTGGTGAAGCCATATGAATGAATTAGAAAGACACGTGAAAATTTCACGGTTTTCCAGTTTTAATATTCTGATGAATTTTAATTCTTCAGTTAAGCTCATGGCAAGTTCTACGACAATAAAATATCCGTGGAAATTCCCCTATTACATCGTTAAATATTTGAGCTTAACAACCTTAAAACTAGGAAGACTCGTGATAATTTCACAGTTTTCCTATTTGAATTTTCTTATGAATCTTAATTCTTCAGTTAATGATTGAATAAGCTCATGGCGAGTTCTACGACAATAAAACATCCGTAGAAATTTCCTTATCGTATCGTTAAATATTTGAGCTTAACAACCTTAACAAAACTAGAAAGACCCGTGATAATTTCACGGTTTTTCTATTTGAATTTTCTCATGAATCTTAATTCTTCAGTTAAGGTTGAATAAGCTCATGGCGAGTTCTACAACAATAATATATCCATAGAAATTCCCCTTATTGCATTGTTAAATATTTAACAACTTTAACAAAATATTGCAATAACAATCATAAATATGAATGCTGAGCATTATTTTAAGAAGTAAGGGGGTACAAATGAAAAGATTTGAAATTGGCCAATTTTTTCCCATTTCACTGAAATAACAGTTAAACACTTCTATCTTTTCTTCTTTCTTTCATTTTCTCACTGAAACCAAGCAGTGTCTTTGATTTGTCTTTTCACGTGATCAAAAATGGAATAGTCCATTTTTTATGGGGTATTGGCAGAACGTAATGCTTGTGTGAAATAACCAAGGAAGGGAGGGACAAACTGAATTATTATATGAATATTTTAAACCCAATTCAAGATGATCAAAGCCTTGCAGCCGGCCACTTGCCTGACCTAGCTGACAAAGCTCAATCGAGAAATAAGAGGCTCGTAACTTCCAATTCCTCAAATACCAAGCTATTATCATTGCATCGTCATCATCAAATGGTTATACTCTCAATGAGTGTCGATGCTTTGAATGTCTCAAGCTCACTCCAGATCTTAAGTGGAACATATGTACAGTGTAACCCGGATATAAGAGAGTTGTCAGAACCGGAGAAGAAGTCTCTTATATCCGGGTTTGGTCTATTTTGTTTAGGTAAATATGGGCTCTAATTTGGGACCAGAGAAAATCTCTCTTATATCCGGGTTACACTGATGTCATATAGAAAGAAAATGAGTAACTACCGACACCAAAGCTTGAGTGTGAGACTCTGGACTTATGAACATATGTTTTCTGACAAGTGTATAAATAGCGGTGTCAGGCTACTGACTGCAGTGATTATTGAGTAGAACTATCCAGTCGAATTAGTGCGAATTATTGTGTGCCGGTGATTTGGGTTTTGATTTAGAATTTACCGGACATTAAACCGAACCGTGTTACTAACAAGGTATTAACTTTTTTATCTTTGGTTGACTTTTAAATCTTTGTTCTTGTTAAATATTTATTTGCGGTTGTAATTAAATATTGTTTCATTTTAACATTGAAGTCTTATGTTATACTTAATTATTAACGACCACCGTACGTCACAGAAGTAAATAGCTGGGATTCCCCATAAAACACTTGCATGATCGGCAGCCATTTTGAGGCTTAGCGTAAAACACAGAGACTTAGAGATGACTGATAGCTAGTATTTTCAAAGGGAAACATTTAATACGAAATCTGAAAATGTATGGTGTTATATGGGAAGAAAATGAGTAACTACCGACACCGAGGTTTGAACCTGATACTCTGGACTTATGAATATGTTTTCCGCTAGGTGTATAAATAGCGGTGTCAGGCTACTGACTGCAGTGATTATTGAGTGGAACTATCCAGTTGAATTAGTGTGAATTATTGTGTATTGATTAATGGATGTTAAGCCGAGCTGTGCTACTAACAATGTATTCACCGAAATGGTTAATTATCTTTGGTTTATCTTTGCTTCTTTGTTCTTGTTAAGTATTTATTTGCAGTTGTAATTAAATACGGTTTTATTTAACATTGAAATCTTGAATTATACTTAATTATTAATGACCACCGTATGTCACAAAATATACGATTCATTGTTAAAGATGCTGGAAAAATGGTTGGCTTGTTCTATTGCTTCTCGAAGTACCCGGTTTCTTCTGTCATGCTTTATCTCTACAAAAGTCAGATTAAAGCAAAAAAAAGAATATAGCTGCTGATTCCTCCCTTTCCAGTCATGATCATAATGCTCAAAATTGTTTTTGCCGTTTTGTATATTAATAATTTTCACTTCCTACCACATCCTCTTTCATTCCTACCACACACCTTATTCATCAGAAACATTTTAACTCGTCATTCTACCTTGAATGGCCCTCAGGCCTTGTATTAGGTTAGGTACCTCCATTAGGTCAAAAGCAGCATATCACGATGAAAAAAGGTCCATAAATCAACGAAAACAAAGTTTTGTATCAATATGTTTATGTTGTTATGAAGAGGAAAGAAGACTAAAGTATTTTTTAAATATTTTTTGAAATATTTTACTCCTTTCTAGCACATAGAAAATTTTGGTTAAAAATTGTTTTTTTTTTACGACAGCGTGAAAAGACTAAAAAAAAGGTTTGTTTTATTTTGTGCTTTTCCCAAGGAAAACGCACGTTAATTTAGGAAATTCTTGCAAAAATCAAATAATTGTCGGATTTTAATGAACTTTCAGGACTTATTCACAAATGAATGAAATTATTTTTTTAATTTTTTTTTTGTTTGAAAATCTTGTTAAAAAGAGATTTTCTTTTTTTTTTTTTTTTTTTAAGATGTTTCCACCCACTTACATATTTTCATGAAATTTCGAGAAATTAAATCTTCAAGCACAGGATTTGTTTTATTAGTTATAAACAGGACTCTTTGTAGAAAGTAAATCACCAGTTTTTTTTTGTAAAACAGTACCCCATATCATAGAAAATCTGCTCTGAATTATAAAAAAAAAATGTAAAAAACTATGACATTAATTAATTAGAAAAGCTTTCACCTGTTTTTGTAAATACGTTATACTAAGGACATTATTTTGTGAAGAAATAAAATTTTTTCGATGATAATGTATTTTTTACAAATTTTTTTCCCGTTTGTAAAATTTTTTCATTAACTTCTTAATACTTCAAAAATCGTTTAAAATTCTTTATTGCTTTCAAGCACGTAATGCAATGATAACGTTAATGAAAAAGTAAATTTACGAATTGAAATTTGAAAAGCACATAACAGTCGTTTGACCCCAGATATTTTTAAAATAATTTAAAAAAAAATTTTATTGAAAAAAACGTTCATAATTTCTACGTATGGAAATGTATACATGACATAATCCTTAAAAAATTTTAGACAATTATCTAATTAATAAAAAAGTTTAAACTATTATCTAATTAAGTATGAAATAAAAAATAGATATTACATAATTGCTGAATAAAAATGTTAATATTTAAAAAGTACTAGTTAAAAACGAAAAACCGCATTTGCTTACTTTGCAAAAATTGTCAATTTTGATCATCCATAGTAATCTGTCATCACCTCGTCACAATCGATTTCTTTGATAAATTCAGACACATCGTTAAGAAATGTTTGGATACAAATTTTTTATACTATAAGTAAGTACTGTTTGTTTCATATCAGATTAATTTAAATTTTCTAATTTTACTCAAATAATGTGTCAGAAATATATAAATTTATTTTAGGAAGAAATTTAAATTCAAAATTTTGTTTGTTTACAAATTTCTTAAAATTTAAGAAAATGACCGCTTTTAAGAAAATTAAACAAAAATAGAGCATATATTTGACATTCCAATCTATATAATTTCTGTCTGAAAGACACCAGAAAATGTTATTTACTGTAAGTAATAAATTTAATGCTTTAGCTTTCAATTAATAACAACATATTGAGACAAAACTGTTTTTTTTGTTGATTTATGAGCCTTTTCTCATCGTGATATGCTGCTTTTTTTACGTGACCTAATGGAGGAACCTATATTAGGTGAATTCTAGTATATGTATCATGACAACTCTATACAAAAATTCAGGTCTTACCTGGACATGGCTAAGGAAGTTCCATTTATCATTCCCACCACAGAAATGGCAATCAAGATTGGCATTATCCAGGCCATGATTCCAATTGTCCGATTCGCAAAAGTCTATGAAAAGAAAACATTACAAATTAGCTTCAAGAAAAAAACAATAAAAAAATAAAATCAAAAACGAAAAAAATAAAAAAAATAAAATCAAAAACGAAAAAAAATAAAAAAAATAAAATCAAAAACGAAAAAAATAAAAAAAATAAAATCAAAAACGAAAAAAATAAAAAAAATAAAATCAAAAACGAAAAAAATAAATAAAATAAAATCAAAAACGAAAAAAATAAATAAAATAAAATCAAAAACGAAAAAAATAAATAAAATAAAATCAAAAACGGAAAAAAAAAAAAAAAACGATTTATAAGAAAAAGATGTTATTTGTTTTTTAAGAAAAAAATTTTTTTTGTTTGTTTCAAATAGAAAAGATGTTTTTCATTGTTTGAGATGAAATAATGTTTTTCCAGCCTGTGCAAGACCTTCATGCATGAAGCTGGACATAGGAGAAGACACCAATACCAACGCAAATAACTGATTGGACAATGTCAAATAATGGACAAGTATGACTGTACCAGAATTGATGATGGCTGCCGTAGATAGACCATTGTGGAAAAGAGTTAGTGTGGCTTTTGCATTTGGATCCACCCTATGATTACAAAAGTCAAGGGGATGATTATATATACAAGTGAACATTGAAGTCAAGACTTAGAGGTGACAGGCTGTTTCATGCTAGACTCAATCGTCAGGCCTGACGATTGCGTTTAGCATGAAACAGCCGGTCACCTCTAAGTCTTGACTTCAATGTTCACTTATATATTTACACACGCTCTATCTCTGATATTGAGCACTTCATCCCATAAATATAGCACACCTTAAGAGTATATATATATATATATATATATATATAGAGAGAGAGAGAGAGAAATGTAAGCAAATATATGGATATAGATCCGACAGTATGAAGAAAAATATACGGAAAAAACAAACAAAAATCTTTATATGCAATTATGCTGTTTTAGGTCGGTAAAATCTTGTGTTTTCGAACATAAATGAGATATTCGCCTTGGAAATTTAAACAATGCTTTAGTTGTACACACAACTAAAGCTGATCATAATTTCGATTTTGATTCTGTGAAGATTTTAAAATATTTTCATAATAAAAATCTTAGGCGGATTTATGAAGCAGGCATAATATCTATCTCACGCACGGTGAACACTAGACCTGGCTTCTTTAATATTTCCCCTTTTCTAGCAAGATTAATGCTCGACAAACGTACATATAAGTTTTAGATCAAAATAAAATTCGTTTTTCATTCAAAATACTCAAATTTTAGGAATACGTTTTCATAACATTGCCCACGTGACGACGACGTGATCATATTTAAACGGAACGCTGATCTTATGAAAGATTTCAGTTATCTGTTTGGATTGGTCTTGCTCTTATGTCCATCGTCTTTTTCAAGTTGAATTGAATATGGTATAATGTTAATTATGTTTTATGAATATGTCCCGAAGATGGTCTATTAGACCGAAATGTCCGACGTTGACATTATATTAACATTAAAACAGCATAATTGCATATAAGGATTTTGTTTATATTTTTTATATATATATTATATATATATATATATATATATATATATATATATATATATATATATATATATATATGAGGCAGCATACAGACTGTACAAATCGTTGGTAGTCTCCATTCTCCTATATGGCTGTGAAACGTGGATACTGTTGGCAGAACCAAAGAGAAGGTTCCAAGTATTTGAGACAAATACATGAGAAAACTCTTTGGCATCTTCTATTGGGAACATAAAGCCAATGAGTTTGTGCAGGAAGGGTTGATAGTTTTGTGGGCCACCAGGAACCTCTTGTCACTCTCAAATGGAGAAAAATGGCATGATTTGAACACATTACAAGGCATGACAGCCAGTGCAAAACCATTATGCAAGGTGAACGTTGGAGAGGACGCCAACACAAAAGCTAGGTCAACAATGTCAAACAATGGACAAGTATGACTACACCAGAATTGCTGATGGCTGCTGTTGATAGACCATTGTGGATGAGATTCAATATGGCTTCTGCATTTCAACCCCACCCCCACTGCGATTACAAAAGTGATGATGATGATGATGAAGATTTTTCATTGTTTCATATAAAAAATGTTTTTCTTTGTTTTATAGGAAAATAAAATCATTTTAATCCACAAGGTTATTATCCCGTCAATTTCTTTCTAGTCAACCACCTGATATACATTCACTTATTTGTAAAATCTACACCTGTCACTGTTACAGCAGTAAACATATCATGGAGGGAAGTGAGTTGTAAATTCTATGCTAATCACTTCTGATGTCAAAAAGGAAAAAAAAATTTCATCTCATTTTAATTTAACCCACTTATTTTTCTATTTATTTATTTTGCGTTTATTCATATATTTAAATGTACTTTTAGTTTTGTAATAACTAGACCCACCCAGTCGTTTATTGCTTTTTGTAAGCAATTTTATCCTTTCTCTGTTTATTTTTTGCAGAAACTACTTAGGAAAAAAATATGTCAGATCTAAAAAAAATTAATTTAGAATTGCAAAATTGTTTTGATAGAGATTCTAAAACTTTATTCAAGTCAATTTTAAAAAATTATTTGAGTCAAAAACAAGCCAAAATAATATTTTAGTCATATAATGTGCTGGTAAAAAAATCTGGTAAAATAAAAAAATCTGGTAAAAATAAAAAAATTCTAAAAAAATTATTTGAGTCAAAAACAAGCCAAAATAATATTTTAGTCATATAATGTGCTGGTAAAAAATCTGGTAAAATAAAAATCTGGTATCAATATCTGGTAAAATTCAGTCAATTCTAAAAAATTATTTGAGTCAAAAACAAGCCAAAATAATATTTTAGTCATATAATGTGCTGGTAAAAAAATCTGGTAAAATAAAAATCTGGTAACAATATCTGGTAAAATTCAGTCAATTCTAAAAAATTATTTGAGTCAAAAACAAGCCAAAATAATATTTTATTTAATCTAAAAACTAAAAAAATCTGGTAAAATAAAAATCTGGTAACAATATCTGGTAAAATTCAGTCAATTCTAAAAAATTATTTGAGTCAAAAACAAGCCAAAATAATATTTTAGTCATATAATGTGCTGTCTTTCCTTGTTATTTAAAAGATAAATTGAAAGATATAGTTGAGAAAAGAACAGCTGGTGATGTTGAGCTGTGTGACACTTCGACATTCATGTTTTTACGCAATCAGGTCATTCTCTAGAGATAACAAAAATAACAAATTAAGTATATTAGAAACATGTCGAGGTTTCTTTGTGGTAAAAATGTAGATAGGAAAAACAAAAATGGTTTTAATTCTCATCAACTCTTATCCTCTTGGTAAGTTTAAAACGACACTTTTTCTTTTTCCTATCCCATATATTGAGACCTTTTTGCTTAAAGTCATTATTTTTTATTTCAGATGAAAACTTGGAAATATTCCAAGATATCTATAAATAATTATAGTTTAGATGTTTTTCTATTTAATGATTCCCTCCCAAGCAAGTCGATAATGTCACTAAGATGCAAGGGGTTACTGGGAGTGAAAGAGAATGAGAAGACTTTAGTGAGGCTTCATGTGAATTTGTCTTGTTAAGCAGTGTTAGTATAAGTTAAGTAATTTTGAAGCATCGAAAGGATGTGTCATTTATCCTCGAGTTCAGATCACTGTAACTTATACTAATGCTGCTTAACAAGTCAAATGCACATGAAGCCTGCTTAACCAATGAAAATCAAAACATTAAATTAAAAAAATACCATAATTTCTTTCTCTCTATATATCCCATTCTCTGATGAAGCTTTAATAAAAGTGAAACATGTTAGATTTATAAACATTTCCTGTTTTTTCTTTATCCTATCATTCTCTCGGATTCTGATTCATGCTTACTCTGAGTTTGACCCAATTCATAAAATAACATATTTTTCAGTTTTTAAAAAACATTCATAAAATTTAATTACAATGGAACATTGTGTCTGCAAAAAACACAGTACATCAAAAAGACAGTTTTTCCCTTGACACCACTATTATTTTAACTACCTTCACTCCTCAGTTTATTGTTTTAAAAAGCAATCATTAGAATTTTAATAAAATTTAAACATATATAAAATGAATTTATACATTTTCTTTGTTCTTGAGAATTGACAACAAAAATAATAAACACTATTAGATTATTTATTGCAATGGTTGGCAAAACATCGGCTAATTGCCAGTCTATTTGAACTTTATAAAATGGTAAATAAGGATTTCCTTAGAGTTGGTTCACATATTTTTTATAATTTAGTAATTGTTTATAAATTTATGAATAAAAACTTTTTCATATTTATTTCTTTATAAATTGGTAAATGATAAATGTTGCATTGCATTAGTTTTAATTGCATTAGTCTATCTGTCTATTTTGTTCTCTTGGTATCTATGTATATATCTGTTCCAATCTTTTCATGTATTTCATTCTATTCATTTATAAATATATCTCTTTCTCTTCATACACACACATTCATCTCTCTCTGTCTCTTTGTCTTCATATCAGTCTATCTATCCATCCATCTATTTTATTCTCTTCGTATCTATATATGTATCTGTCCCAATCTTTTCATATGTATTTCATTCTATTCATTTATATTTATCTCATTCTTTTCACACACACACACACACACACACACATACACAGTACACTCTCCGATCGTATTCAATGTATTAGGGTCAAGCAACTCAGTTCCTAGGAACCGACAGCCCAGACTCCAGCACATATGATTTTGATTATAGTGGTGAAGGCTTTGTGCATAACCAACCACACCGAATACAGTGACTGAGTGTACCATGTGTCACAAGGCCCCCAAACAACCCTCTGTAGGTTTTGAATTCAGAGTTGTCCTTCTCCTAGACCAGTTGCCATCCAAGGCTATAGAACCCAGTCTGTCCTGCTATTTACCCATAGCTGGAGGGAGAAGAAGAGGATTAATACCTTTCCCAAGGGTATTAGCACGTAAATGAATGTAATGGATTCAAAAACTCTCCGATTCCTCAATCCAAGCCACTATCCACTGTGCCTCCATATACATATATATATATATATATATATATCTTTCTCTTCAAATTTGTCTATATATCCATCTATTTTGTTCTTTCTGTATCAGTCTCAATGTTTTCATATCTATTTCATTCTATTCATAATTTATCGAATTTTATAAAATGAGAAATAAGGATTCCTTAGAATTGGTTCAAATATTTTTATAATTTCAGTAAATGTTTATAAATTTATGAATAAAATTGTTTTATATTTATTTTTTTTATAAATTGGTAAATGATAAATATTTCATTTTATTATTTTTAATTGTTAGTTTGTAAATATAAAATTATTCTTATAAATAAACAATCTAATAAATAAATAGTGTTTAATATTTATTTATTGCAAATTCTCAAGAACAAAAAAATTGTATAGCTTCATTTTCATCATATGTTTAGGCTTTATTTCAATTCTAATCTTCACTTTTTTTAAAACAATAAACAAAGATGTAAAAAATAAGTGTCAAGTAAAGACATGTCTTTTCAACACTCCTTTTTTTCAGTCACAAAGATCAATATTTACTGTACAACAACATTTCTTAAAATTATCTCCTTGAAGTACAAGATCAAAGAAAAAAAAAAAAAAAAAAAAAAAAAGACATTATGATAATATTTGTAGTGATATCATTCAATTGAAATATTCAATATAAAAGATAGCCTCACTATGGATATGGGCAAAATAATTTATTGTCTGCTTACATTACATTATTTTATTTAAATAAACTAAATTCTTAACTAATCCTAACGATTTCTCCACTTATTTGATTTTGAAAAAGTTTCTAGTTCTTCTGTTATCATTCAAGACATGAGAATATATAGGAACTTTTTTTAATGCAGAGACGCCATTTATAGCAAAGAAGAAGGAAACAAGGTCAAATCACAAATTTTACACATTTTTTTCACCTTTCGTGTAAGACATTTTAGAAAGCCACATTTATCACAACCAATTATCGTAGGACATTTTGACAATTAAGACAGGTGAAGCAAAGATTAAACGTGGTTGAACATAAAAAGTGCTATTATACTAGTTGAGGTATTTGCCTTGCATGGACAAATTAGTAGACTATCATCTTATATTTCTTGATTCATTCTTTTATTTTCTGGCTTATCAACCCTTTGCAGATTATTTAAAACCAGAAAATATTTTTACATTGTATGAATTTTTTTTTTTTTTAATATTATCTAGATAAGAATGTTTTAGTGTGATACAATTTATAGATGCTTGTGCTAGCACAAAGACAAGTCATTGTGACCGAGTGTTTCAGTGTACTGGTGTTGTCAGATTATGTACCCTCTCAGAAAAATGTTATTAACAATTATACTGTATACTTAACTAATTATACAGCAACTGTAGTATAAACAACACTTGTGCATATGTGAACATAACGCACTCAATGGAATTGGAACCTGGCTCTCCAATTAACAATTCTGAATCATTATCCATTACACCACCCACACATCCAAGTTTACAGCACTTGGTATTCCCAAGTGGTCACCCATCTAAGTACTGACCAGGCTTGACAGTGCTTAACTCTGGCGATCATACAGGAACCGGTGTTGACATGATGTGGCTGTTTGCTTGGGCTGCACTTGAGAAAGCAAATAAAATTTCTGTGCACTTTGGAAAAGTGTCTTTAAAAAAAAAAAAAAAAAAAAAAAAAGATATTTATAAATTATATAATTATGTTTAAAATATAACCTACAGAATATTATTAGCAATATTTTCTGTTTAAAAATTTTTTTTTTTTGAGATAATGGTTTAGTGATTAAAGTCTTACTAATTAACCCATAGCTGGAGGGGAAAACAAGGTGGATTCATACCTAATCAGAATTTGATAAACAAGAAATTATAATGTGGGTTTTAAAGTGAGGGATCAGTTCTATATTACAATCAATATATAAAGTGGTAAAATTCCTAAACCTTATTAATAAACATTGTCACAAGATTAATCCGCTAAGTTACATATTTAATATTAATACACTTAAATTTAGCTATAGTTGTGCGGACAACCTTCAGAAAATAATAAAAAAAATAAAAAAAAAATAAATAAAAACACAATAGCCTTCAACAAGGATAAAAATTCAAAAAGCATGACATATTGCAACGGTGAAGTAAATAATTGTAAGTATAATACTAATATGGGCGGATGTCATTGTAGGATTTCCAATGATTTCCAGCTACAAAATAACTGCTTAGCTAGTTCCCTAGTTTAAAATCATGGGAAATTTATAGTTTAAAAGCAGTAATTCAACTTTGCTAACCGATCACTTCCTCTGTAGCTCAATGCTATTGCATATCAGGCTATATAACGGTTGTGTAGGATACAGGTTCAATTCCTGTCATTGGACACATTTTCTATGAAAATTATTCGAACATTCAGGCCAGTAAATGTTGTTAATAGTGTTTACTATAAACAGAGCATTTACTTAAATATTTGTATCAATAAAAATAATGTATAAACAATATATATATATATATATATATATATATATTAGTTTTAAGGTGTGATATATTTATGGGATAAAGTGCTCAATATCAGAGAGAGCATATGTAAATATAAATATAAAAGTGAACATTGAAGTCAACACTTAGAGGTGACAGGCTGTTTTATGCTAGACACAAGTTGTAGTCTGTTTGTTTGTCATCAAACTCCTCTTATGTTTTTGGAGATATACCCCCCACCATATATATTCTGAAACTACATTACTCAGAGTACTTGGATACGTATATTTCATTTTGATCAAGTGGGGGGATGGGTCCCGGGGGCACAAACACCCCACTGAAAAATTTTCCCTTTGATTTAAATTAAATTTAAATTTAAACAAGGGAATGACTCCTATCTAGAATATGGAAGGAGAAAGCCAGAAGATGGTGGTCACATCAGCAAGATCATTGAGTAATATTAAAATGCATCATTTTCCTGCACAGATTATAATGATTTAAAATCAATCACTATTTTCTTACAAAATAATGTGACATGCAGCAAGATGTGGGTAATTCGGCTAGTATATAAGTAAAGCGTCAGTGCAAGGGAGATAACTAACAAAACAAAAAATATGCAAGCAAAACAATAATGTGTATTATGTAGTAAGACATAATTATCTGAAGGCATGAACATGCATTTCCTTTCCTAAAAACCTTTTAACTTTGATTTTTTGCAAGAATTTCCAAAACAATGTTTTTTACCACCAAAATTTCGAACATGCTAGAAGGGATTAAAAAAATTTAATGAAATAATCAAAAAATACTTCTGTCTTTCCTCTTAATAACAAACATTTTGACAATAAAACTTTGTTTTCATCAAGTTTGGGACATTTTTTCATCATGGTATACTCTTTTTTTAGTGAAAAAGTGTAGGTACCTACTTTTAACTGACATGAGAACAATTTTATCTATGTTTCATGTTCATTTGAACGTACCTTTCAAATCTTGAAAGGTCAACTGCAACTCAGACTTCCAAATGATTCAAAGTGAAAAGGTCATGTTTCTTGATATAAATTAATCGCCAGGAGATAACTCGCAGAGAAAAAAAAATGCAGGAAAAAAAAAAAAAAAAAAACCTGTATTATGGAGGAAGACATCTAACATGTAAAGGCATGAACATGCATTTCATGCCCTAAGAACCTTTTAACTGATATGAGAACAATTTTTGTGTTTCATGTTCATTTTAAAGTACCTATCAAACTTCAAAATGTCAACTGCAACTTGGATAGACAAACAATTCAAAGTTAAAAGGTTACGATTCTCTAGAAAAAAGTTGTTTTTTTTTTTTTCCTTCTTTTCTTGTCACAATATTAAGATTAAAAGAAGCAATTCCCATCAAAATAATTTAGGCATTTAGTACAGGATTGACATACTTACTACTGCAACAGCCGTTGACTGCAACATTTCAGCTGGGGATAAAACTCCAAGGTAGGCAACATTGGTAATTAAATAAATTGTAATAACGAGTGTCATCGATATCATAATTGCCAACGGTAAATTTCTGAAAAAGAGTTTAATAAATAAAATGGCATGTCATTTAAAATCTCCAATGGCATATCATTTAAAACGAGGGAATTCAAGATCTTGGGGACCCAGAATTTATGGAAGGTCATAAAAACATTTATTTTAACAAAAACAAACCAAACATGGATAAACATGCCCACAATAAGACATGGTGTCAAAAGGATGGTTTTTCCCTTGACACTGCTATTATTTTAACTACCTTCACTCCTCAGCAATGTTTTATTATAAAAAGAGATGATTAGAATTGAAATTCACTTTCATCATATGTTTAGGCTTGAATAAAGCCTAAACATATTGTTATGGTGAAACACACCTATTCTATAGTTAATAGACTCTCCCACCTAATATAAGTAGGAGTAGTAAGAGAAACGTTGGTCAGTCAATGTCGGACAACCGGCTGAACGGTTGAACTCTCTGCCTTCATGCGGGGAGGAACCTGAAAGGCTACGCCGAAGGGTGGATTCTCTTTTGGGGAGGTTAACCGACCCTGAAGGTTCAATGGGCATATTTTTGGCTGAGCCCACGGGCTCGAAGATCCCACGTTAAACAGGCCTTGTGCCATATGATGCCCTCGTGTGTGTGTGTGTGTGGGGGGGTTGACTAAATATCGTTGATGTCGGATGACCGGCTGAACTCTCTGCTTTCGGGCGGGAGTGACCAGAACAAGGCTACGCCGAAGGGCGGAGTTTTGTTCGGGAGGTAACCGATTCTGAACCTGCTTAAACGGTTCAAAGGCATATTTTTGGCTTCAGCCTGGCGCGGGCTCGAGATCCCACGCTAACTGGCCTTGTGCCACATGATACCCTTGCGGGGACTAAATATCAGAGCGTCGGATGACAGTAGTCGGTCAATGAAAGTAGTCACGCATCACAACAAGATTACCTGCATAATACCTATTATATCGCTCCTAACGTTTTGGTACGCTTTAACCTATTCAGGGACTGATTTAGTACAAATACAAGCCTCCACTGTGAAATCACTCCACAACACATATGATGAAAGTGACTTTATACATTTTTTTTTTGGGTCCTGAGAATTTACAACAAAAATAATAAAATTTTATTTATTACAATAATTTTATATTTACAACATTACAAATACTAATACAATTAAAACTAAAAATGTGATGCAATATTTATCATTTACCAATTTATAAAGAAATGTTGATGGTATCTATGTAAACATTAACCAACCAGTTACCTCAACTGGTAAATGGTAAACATGGACCCAATAGCAAGTCCAGAGATGCCTAGCGGTTGGCATGGTAAGTAGCGGTTGGGTGTGTGTTCTTTCAAGCAGTGGCAGGATCCATTTTCTTTTATTTCTTTCAACAGGAAACCATTGATTGGGACAAGGGCAGTAGAGTGAATATAAACATGGATAGACCTGTCTGCAATAAAACGTAGTGTCAAAAGGATGGTTTTTCCCATGACACTGCTTTTTTTTTTTTTTTTTTTAACTACCTTCACTTTCCAGCATAATTTATTTATTAGACCAGTGATAGGTTCAGGTGGACCACTAGTGGTCTACATAGCACTTCTAGTGGTCCACAGAGAATTCATAGCCATAAAAAAATTGTAGCCATTTCACAAAAATATATCTAAATTATTCACACTCTCAGAATTCTCATTCTGAGCCTTTATCCATTACACCACCTGCACATCCAAGCCTATAGAGTAGGCACTGATCAGGTTCAACATTGCTTAACTTCAGTGATTGGATGAAAATCAGTGTTTCAACGTCAAAGTCTGTAAACCGCAGCTGGTCTAGAAGAAAGACGATTGGATCAAACACATAAAGGAAATAGGAAAGCAATCCACCATCTTTCCCAACAAGTCATAGCAATTTAAAGACATTAAAGAAAAGGGAACTGGAAAGCCATGATCGTCTAGTCATTATGGTATATGAGTGCCCAAATATAGTTTGGCTAGACTGACAAACACTTTGAATTAAACCCACTATCAATGGTCTGTGAGGTTAGTTTGCATGGCATCCCTCTGTGTGAAACAACTTATGTAAGCCAAGTTTAGTAGATATCTACATATCTACTAAACTTGGTTTAGTCTGGTATAAGGTCATTAAAACTGAGTGCTTAACTGAGCAGTGGTTCTTAACCTTTTTTGAGACATGGACCCCTATAAGAACTAGACCTTCATAGACAAGCAGATATTCAGTCTGATTGGCTTTTCACAACACTTGCATGTGCATTTCTCCATACTGCACTCTCATGCACATACATTCACTTTTTCGCCAGTCATGCTTGAAAAAAAAAATTGTGGCCATCTTCTCTCTCAATCTTTCTAGCTCTCTCTCTCTTTCTCCATATATATATATATATATATATATATATATATATATATATATATAGTGTAACCCGGATATAAGTGAGTTATTTGGGACGGAGAAGTCTCTTATATCCGGGTTTTATATCCGGTTTGGTCTATTTTATATACATTAACACAGGCTCTAATTTGGGACGGAGAAAATCTCTTATATCCGGTTTCTTTTATATCCGGGTCTCTTATATGAATTAGAGCCAAAGAGATACCCCCAAAAAAAACTGGAAAGAACAAAAACAATTTGAATTTAAGAAACTTACCGATATGGATTCACTAATTCATCTGTAAGAAAGTTCAAATAGCTCCTGGAAAATATGTGAAAGAATTTTTCAGCTTCATGTGCATTATAAAAAAATAAAAAGCCAATTCTCTGTCTGTCACACACAGTCTGCCTATGACTTTGCATGCATATATGTAATGTATGTGTCTCAGTTTGGAATCAGATATTGGAATACACTGCCCCCCTCAGCCTAGACAACACCTGCCACAGGCTGAGTAATAAAATCAAAGTTGTAAAAATAAAAAAGGAACAAAATCACAAAAAAATCAATTAATTATAAGATTTCAGTTAACTTCTTGGAAATTATTAGTGTGGGTTGAAATACAATGGTCAACTGAAATGTTCATAGGCTGACTATGAAGGAGTGATGCTAGAACTGTGAAATCTTGAAAGCATTCATTTCATCTCTTCTTATTAATAACTGCATTGTTTTTTTCCAGGTACAACGGTGGGCTGAAAAGTTCACAGGCTGACTATGAAGGAGTGATGCTAGAGCCGTGAAATCTTGAATGCATTCATTTCAACTCTTCTTATTAATAACTGCATTGTTTCTTTCCAGGTACGAGGGTGGGCTAACAACCTACTCACTTAAAAACTAGCTTGTTACAGAAACCCCAATGGTATCTTCAAACGACACGACCGAAGAAGAGTCCTCCAAAGTAGAGCATGTGACACATACTGGTGAAAATCCCCCAAGATGGCAGCCTGCACATCATGAGCCAAGCTGAACAGGATCACCTGGAGCTACGTCCATTGGAGAAGTGTTGTTGTGGCCCTATGTTCCCCAAGGAATTAAAAGGCATAAATAATGAATGAATGAGTTCAATCCATGGGTTTGGCAGTGCGTACTTACACTCAGTGGTGAGTAGTACTAAATGAGAGATTTGAACAATGGAATCAGAACAGTCTAGCCTCATAGATTAAATAAAGGGTTCAGTTCAGAATTCCCTGTATACACCTGAGGAAGGCTGGAGATCACAACGGCTGAAATGTTTTGATGAGAACGAAAAAGGGGAGGACAATAATCCGAATATAAATAGTGTAAATAATTAGACGCATGACACAGTGGATAAAGGCATTGGTTAGATCCCTTGACAGGACCGAAAGAGTGTGAGTTCAATACCTGGTTAAGGCAGTGGAGAACTTTCAGAGGGAAATTAACAGGAGATAACTGATAACTGACATCCATTAAACATGGCACGTGGAACTAGAACAGTCTACCCCAGTGAACGAAATAAAGGGTTAAGTTTGACATTTCAACCACCTGAAGAAGGCCAGAGTGTACAACGGCCAAAACGTGATAAACATGGTGACAAAGATGAGGACAATAGCCCGAATAATGTAAATAGTGTAGTGGAAATAACTTTGAAATAAATACAACAAATCATAATATTTATATCGGCATCCCTGTAGGAGAATTTAAAAAGAGAATCAATAGACACAAACATTCATTCAACAATCCAAAATTAAAACACCAAACAGCCATTTTGAAAAAATTTTGGGAATTGAAGGAAAAGGGTTGGTTGGCTGTTTGGGGTTTTATGGCATATCAACCACTATGGGTTATTTAATGCCAAATCCAGTTTGTACATATATATTAAATATATATACTTTGTAAACATACTTTGAGGATAACGTCCTTGAACCACAGCTTGTTTATTCTTACTCAAGTAAATGGTTTCAAATGTTTCTATTTGGCATGAGTTAGTTATTTATATTAAATAAAATAATTCATTTGCATAGCCAATTGATGTAATTTTTCACCACCAGTTTTATTTGCAGTGAAAAAAGGCCCAATGTAGTATTAATAAATATGGTATTGTTTGAAATTAATGGAGGTTGTTTCTTTTAAGAAGGTTTCTTGTAGGCAAACTATTTTGGGGTTATGGTTGGTCAGAAGTTGTTGAAGTTCCTCATAATTAGCCCGGATTCCTCTGCAATTCCACCGTAGGATTGCATTATTTGTAATTTCATTGTTTGATGTGTAATTTGTCTGAATTGGAGTTAGTGCTCTTTTTTGACTTGTTTTTAGTGCTCGGTTCATCGGTTTCCATCCTTTCCAAAAAACCAAACCTGTTTTTCATGTCAATCTTTGAAGTTGATTGTTCTCTAAGTTGACTTGTTAAATTTGAAGACTTTAGACATTCCCGTCAGGAAGTCGAGGTATGATCTCTCTTGGGTTGTGATGGACGTTCTTCTTTGTCTTTGTTTGATTCAGGGTTTTGTATATTATTTTTCCCATTGTTATCGATTTTAGAAGTTGAAAGACAGATTGATGATCGTTGCAGGTTGTCTTTTGGTAAGAGTGGTCTGTGTCTGTGATGTTTTTTTGGTTATTTCTTTTTCATTCTTTATTTTGTCATGGGTTTTATTAATCTCAGCTGGAACTTCCATTTGGAATGTTTGTTGAGTACTATTGGTGTGTTCTGAATGAAGAGGGTCAGAATCCTCAAATTCTAGGTTTCATGAACCCCCCCCCAATAATTTTAGGGATAAGTGCAAGCTACGTTTAGAAGAAGAAATCAAGATAATAAAACAAAGATCAATGCAAACTATTAAATCAACGGAGAGAATTAATCACAAAATGTGGGCACATGAATAAATTCCAAATTACATAAGAATACATGTGGGGGGGTGTATGCATATATAAAGTTATGCATGTTTCATTAAAAATGACAGACAAGGTACTACAGTTAAGTTTTTTTATTTAATTTTTCTTGTGTTCTAACAAGAGCTTTCTCTTCTGGACAAAGGGTGTGTAAGAACTGTCCAAATGTTTTATATTTCCGAACACTTTCGGATATACCTTTAGCCATTATCAAGGATGATTTGATTTTTCAGCTTAAATGAGTGTGTGCGTTCTGTGTATGTCTTAGTGTGTGGTAGGGATGTTTTTAATTTTCAAATCTGGTTGCTACATTGTGGCTTTGTTAAGTAGTTAATATTGTTAAGAGTTGGCTTTTTTCTTTTTTATTATTAAAGCTTCCATTATTTTTAGTTTTTTTTTTGCAGGTGGATGCAGTTAATATATTTGTGTTTTCTACTAGTATGTTCCTAATAGAGTCTGGTAAATTTTGTGTGTGTTCTTAAATGGGTTCTAATGGAGCTGTGATCAGATAGGTGTAATGTAAGACATCTGGATAAGCATGTGGTTGTTTAACCGATGTAATTATTTATGAGCCCGGTTTGATCAGGAACACAGTTCCTTAAGGGGCATTTGAACTCAAAGTTGCATACATGTATGATCAAGTAAATGCACACATTTATGTATGTATCAGACAGCACGAGTCATTCCATTGGGTGCTCTGGTATTACCCACAATCTATAACTCAACTAATTTACATTCACCCTAACAGACTCAAGTTCAAATCCCACATAGATTTACAGTACAAAAACTATATACTGTGAATCCCAGAAAAACACACACCGACACTTTTATATGAAACACTATATAGTAGGAACTGATATTAAACTAACAAAAATCCTAGCCATAAATAAACTCCAAACCCAGACTGCTTCCCCCAAGATAAGATACCTGACGCCCCCACCAATCGCTAACACAAACCCACTCTCATTAAAAAGGCACCTGCCGGAGACTGGATTTGAAAAATACATAAATAACTGCTCTGAAGACAAGTACTTAGTGGCTGACAAAATCCCGTTAAGGGACGGTTTGAAATAGTCTATTCTGATGTTGAGGTAATTTTTGTTTTTTTGCTGTAAAAAATACATATGCTCTGTTAAAATATAAATATCAAGCTCTTTGTGGATCAGTTTTAATAATTATTATTACTAGGATCCACCCGGATTATATACCAACAGATCAATTACCTGTACTATAATATAATATATATATATATATAATATATATAATATATATAAAATATATATAATATATAATATATATATAATATATATATATATAATTTAATATATATTATAGTTCATCAAGAAATTGAGTATTGGTGGTATCTCCCTGATTTTTGGGACATGTGTAGAGGCTTATCCTTTGTTTTCTGTTTAAGATTGGGTTTCCATTCTTTCTAAAGTCTACTTCCGCACTAACTTCTCTGAGTGAATTTGGAAATGTTATTCACTAATTAAATCTTGACAACTTCAAGTCTAGGGTTAACTGTTATCTTTCCGGCATAGCCCCAGCAATATGACTTCTTTCAATTTTTTTGTTTTATGCTAATACAACACCAAACATTAATCCCCTACCTTGAAGGGCTCTTGAGAAAACAAAATAAAAACTGCGAAACCGTGTACAAACTCTAATATATAGAAAATTGTAAAGGACGTTATCACTATGTGTCATGTTCCAAGTATTTTCATCCAGTTAGTCGTTTTCAAGGATAGAATTGCCATATGCTAACAAAAAAACACAAATCCAAAGAGATCCTAACTTATGTCAGATTTTAGTCAACAATACAACAGTACTCTGCCAATTGAAATGCAAGAAACAATTTAAGATTCTGGAAGCCCTTTGCATAAAAGGACAGCAACCCATGCTCAATGGAATTGGTTGCGCATGTATTAAAATTATCTTTTTTTCAATTCCTGTTCTTTATCGATATAAATCAAGCTTAATAATGTTTTTCTTTTGCTCATATTCTTTCACAAACCTTGTGTCTGAGTGACTTTATTGTCTTGCTTGGTGTGTAATGATTAAAAAAAAACAAATTTACGTAAGGTTTTAGACTTTTTTTTCAAACTTTAGCTTCGATTAGTGAGAGTTGAGGGTTGGTTTGATTGGGGGAGGTAATGTTTATTGCTGTTGGGGATGCATGTTTGTGTTGACAAATCTGACTGTTTCCCAATTGTGAGCATTGTGGCTGGGAACAGAAATCAGCATCCCGTTCTCACCCTTTCACTGTCAAAACTCCTAAATGTTGCCGTCTCTTCTACTCCAATAGCTTCATGTCTCGTACCTCACGCCTGTGGAACTCCCTTCCCTATTCCAGTTTCCCTAAGAGCTATAATCTCCAACTATTCAAATGTAATGTCAATCGACATCTCCAGTTGCCTTGATCTATCCAGTATCCTTTTCCTCATCCTTTCTTCTATCACTCCTATCTGATTTTGCCCCAAATTTTCTGTAACCCCTTGCGTCCTTGTGGCTTCCCACCTTGCTTGGGGTGAAACACTTAAAAAAAAAAAAGTAAAAAAAAAAAAGTTCTCTTGCCTTCTTAGACCAGCGTTTCTCAACCTTTTTACCCATGTGTAACCCTTAAAATAAATTACATGTCTCAAGGAACCCCTGCACAAAAACAAAATTATATACCATCTCTTTCTCATTTTATTTTCATTGAAGTTCACGTGGTAAATATCATAGTATATATTTTTGAATAACTGGAAAAATTAATACTTCTTTGTCAAATTTTTCGGTAATGCTAAATAAAATTCATACTGTTTGTTTATAATACTTCATCGGGGAGCTTTCATTCACACAAAAAAATTCTAGATGCAACTGTAAAAAATAAACGTAAGTAACCAATATCATATACCTATAATATAAATGTAAACAGAATGAAAAGATCTTAGGGCACCACAATGTGGTGTAATGGTTAGCAAGCTTGACTCGCTAGATCACTTACGACTGAGAAGCGAGTTCGATCCTCACTGGGTGCCCCATACTTTCAGCCTTGTGCCACATCTAAGCTGTGCTTAGAAAATCGATTGGGCACCTTGAGGCGGTGTAATAGTTAGCAAGCTTGTCTCACTAGAACAATTACAACTGAGTCGTGAGTTCGATCCTCACTGTGTTTATTTCAAGTAAGTTCCTTTCATATTGTCTGATAAGCTTAATAACATTATCATTGAAAGACGAAAGAAAATCACCATATTGATACATGTTTAAATCCAACCTAAGCTTTTGGCTTACATGACAAAAATAAACTTGGCAGCTGCTAAATTGTTCAGCAAGAAAAGCTTCACTAGTTTTCAGAATTAACTGCCTACAGAAGAAATAGTACTGACTAGCAGTAGAGCCCGGCGTTGCCTGGGGATGTAACAGTAAGAGATAGATCAAGTATCGACCATCATAAAGACTGAAAAATAAAATTGACAAAGATTATTGTTTAAGGTTGACGGACACGCATGTCTTAATTAGTTTTTTTTTTTTTTTTTTATGAATTGGTCAAACATTGTTTTTAATCGTTATGAGTCTACCGATTGAACTTATTATAAACAATTGTCTTGTAAATGGAATTTTAAAGCATTCTGAATGCAAAAATAAAAAAAAAAAGTGTGCAAGACAATAGAAACACTACCAAAAAAAAAAAAAAAAGTGAAGTTTTGTTGAAATCGTTTGAAAAATGTAGGGAAATCTGATCCCATATATAAAGGAACACACACACACACACACAATCAACCTGGGTTTTATAATAAGTATAAACCGATATGAGTTGTCCCCCTTTCATTCTCACGATAGCTATGCCTCTTAATCGTGTTTTCAAATTGATTTTGTGCAAAAACAATTGTGTTTTTCCAATTTTGGGCGCTGTCAGAACCACTGCAAGGTAATTTTACATAGTCCTGTGAAGTTTAGTTGAAATCGGTTGAAAAATGTAGGAAATCCGATCCAATATATAAATGTAGACACACACACACACAAATATATGCATGCACACATATATATATATAGTACATACCAGCCACTGTAGGCCCAAAATCCAGAGTAGAATGACAAGGCAATGGGGCCAGCTGAATAAATGCTGCCTTCAAATGTGTTGCGTAAATATTCTGTCTCCCCTGAAAAGTTAAAAACAAAATAATAATAAAAACAATAATAATGCTTTTTATTTATTTTTTTCTTTACAACTAATAACACAAGATTAAAACACTTATATATGGAAATACTTATCTACCTCTGGAATTTGTCAATTTAATATTGGCAAGTTGTTGTCTTTGGGGCTTTTTTCTGAATGTGGATTCTTCTTGTGCATAAGATTCTGCTTTGCTTCTAAGCAGGTGTGTGTGTGTGTGTGTGTAAAATTTATTATAATAATAATAATAATAATACAGAAACACACTCAATAGATTTAGATTTTGTCAAAGATTAGGGGAGTGGTACAAGAAGAAGACTATAGGTACCTAGGAATTAGTGAAGGAGATGGAATACAACATACGCAAATGAAGGAGAAAGTAAGAAAGGAGTACTATAGGCATGTGCGTCTAGTACTGAATACCGAGTTGAATTCAAAAAACAGAATATCAGCCATAAACACCTTGGCTCTCACTGTGGTGCAATACAGTTTCAATATCCTTAACTGGACCATAGCTGACATTAAAACGAGAAAGCTTCTCACTTGCTAGTGCGTGAATAATAATGTTTTTTTTTTTATTAGTCAGTGGAAAATGTCATGATGCCATTTCTAAACATAGGTCTCTGAGCGGAACCGAAAAAGAATGAAATGCAAAAATCAAAGTTAAAAAATAATAATATGAAAAGTTAAAATAATAAGAAACAAGAAGAAATAAGACTAATAAGAAGAATAAGAAAGACTAAGAAAAAGAAAGAAGATAAGAAGACTACTAAGAAAGAAGAAGAAGAAGAAGACTAAGAAGAAGACTAAGAAGAAGAAGAAGACTAAGAAGAAGAAGACTAAGAAGAAGAAGAAGACTAAGAAGAAGAAGAAGACTAAGAAGAAGAAGACTAAGAAGACTAAGACTAAGAAGAAGACTAAGAAGACTAAGACTAAGAAGAAGACTAAAAGACTAAGACTAAGAAGAAGAAGAAGACTAAGAAGAAGAAGACTAAGACTAAGAAGAAGACTAAGAAGACTAAGACTAAGAAGACTAAGAAGAAGACTAAGACTAAGAAGAAGACTAAGAAGACTAAGACTAAGAAGAAGAAGAAGACTAAGAAGAAGAAGACTAAGACTAAGAAGACTAAGAAGAAGAGAAGAAGAAGAAGACTAAGACGAAGAAGACTAAGAAGAAGAAGAAGACTAAGAAGACTAAGAAGAAGAAGAAGACTAAGAAGACTAAGAAGAAGAAGAAGACTAAGAAGAAGACTAAAGAAGAAGAAAAAAAAAAGACTAAGAAGAAGAAGAAGACTAAGAAAGAAAAGAAGAAGAAGAAGAAGACTAAGACTAAGAACTAAAAAGAAGAAGAAGACTAAGAAAAAGAAGACTAAGAGAAGAAGACTAAGAAAAAAAAGACTAAGACTAAGAAAAAGAGACAAGAAGAAAAGAAGACTAAGACTAAGAAGAAAAGAAGAAGAAGAAGAAGAAGACTAAGAAGAAAAAAGACTAAGACTAAGAAGAAAGAAGAAAAGAAGAAAAGACTAAGACTAAGAAGACTAAGAAAAGAAGAAAAGACTAAGAAGAAAAAAAGAAGAAGACTAAGAAAAAGAAGAAGAAGACTAAGAAGAAGAAGAAGACTAAAGAAGAAGAAAGAAGAAGAAGACTAAAGACTAAGAAGAAGAAGACTAAGAAGAAGAAGAAGAAGAAGAAGACTAAGAAGACTAAGAAGAAGAAGACTAAGAAGAAGAAGACTAAGAAGAAGAAGAAGAAGAAGAAGACTAAGACTAAGAAGAAGACTAAGAAGAAGAAGAAGAAGAAGAAGACTAAGAAGAAGAAGACTAAGACTAAGAAGACTAAGAAGAAGAAGACTAAGAAGACTAAGAAGAAGAAGAAGACTAAGACTAAGAAGACTAAGAAGAAAGAAGAAGAAGAAGACTAAGAAGAAGAAGACTAAGAAGACTAAGAAGAAACTAAGAAGAAGAAGACTAAGAAGAAGAAGACTAAGAAGAAGAAGACTAAGAAGAAGAAGACTAAGAAGACTAAGACTAAGAAGAAAAGAAGAAGAAGAAGAAGACTAAGAAGAAGAAGAATAAGAAGAAGAAGACTAAGAAAAGAAGAAGACTAGACTAAGACTAAGAAGAAGAAGACTAAAGAAAAGACTAAGAAGAAAAGAAGAAGACTAAGAAGAAAAGAAAAAGAAAAAGACTAAGAAAAAAACTAAGAAGAAGAAGAAGGAAGAAGAAGAAAAAAGAAAAAGAAGAAGAAGAAGAAGAAGAAGAAGAAAAAGAAAAAAGACTAAGTAGAAAGAAGAAGAAGACTAAGTAAAAAAAGACTAAGACTAAGAAGAAAAGAAGAAGACTAAGAAAGAAGAAGACTAAGAAAAGAAGAAGAAGACTAAAAAAAGAAAAGAAGAAGAAAAAAAAAAGAAGACTAAGAAGACTAAGAAGAAGACTAAAGGAAAAGAAGAAAAAGAAGAAGAAGACTAAGAAGACTAAGACTAAGAAGAAAAGACTAAGAAAGAAGAAAAGAAGAAGAAGAAGAAAAGAAGAAGACTAATTAGAAAAGAAGACTAAAAAGACTAAGAAGAAAAGACTAAGAAGAAAAAGAAGAAGACTAAGAAAGAAAAGACTAAGACTAAGAAAAGACTAAGAAGAAGACTAAGAAAAAGAAACTAAGACTAAGAAGAAAAAAAAGACTAAGAAGAAAAGAAGAAGAAAAGACTAAGAAGACTAAGAAAAGACTAAGAAGAAGAAGAAGAAGAAGAAGAAGACTAAAAAAAGAAACTAGAAGAAGAAGAAGAAGAAGAAGACTAAGAAGAAAAAGAAGAAGAAAACTAAGAAGAAGACTAAGAAGAAGAAGAAGACTAAGAAGAAGAAGAAGACTAAGAAGACTAAGAAGAAGAAGAAGAAGAAGACTAAGAAGACTAAGAAGAAGACTAAGAAGAAGACTAAGAAGAAGAAGACTAAGACTAAGAAGACTAAGAAGAAGAAGAAGACGAAGAAGAAAAAAGAAGAAGAAGAAGAAGAAGAAGAAGAAGAAGAAAAAAAGAAGAAGAAGAAGAAGAACTAAGAGAAGAAGAAGAAGACTAAGAAGAAGACTAAGAAAAAGAAAAGACTAAGAAGAAAAGAAGAAGAAGACTAAGAAGAAAAAGACTAAGACTAAAGAAGAAGAAAGAAGACTAAGAAGAAAAGACTAAGAAAAAAAAGACTAAGAAGAAGAAGAAGAAGAAGACTAAGACTAAGAAAAAAAGACTAAGAAAAAGAAGACTAAGAAGAAAGACTAAAGAAGAAGAAGAAGAAGACTAAGAAGAAGAAGACTAAGAGAAAGAAGAAGAAAGAAGAAGACTAGAAGTAGAAAAAAAACTAAGAAAAGAAAGAAGAAAGAAGAAAGAAGAAGAAGAAAGAAGAAGAAGAAGAAGAAGAAAAAAGAAGAAGACTAAGACTAAGAAGAAAAGAAGAAGAAGAAGAAGAAGAAGAAGACTAACTAAAAAGAAGAAGAAGAAGAAGAAGACTAAGAAGAAGAAGAAGAAGAAAAGACTAAGAAAAGAAGAAGACTAAGAAGAAAAGAAGAAGACTAAGAAGAAAAGAAGAAGAAAACTAAGAAGAAGAAGAAGACTAAAAGAAGAAGAAGAAGAAAAGACTAAGAAGAAAAGAAGAAGACTAAGAAGAAGAAAAAGAAGAAGAAGACTAAGTAGAAAAAGACTAAGTAGAAAAAGAAGAAGACTAAGTAGAAAAAGAAGAAGAAGACTAAAGAAGAAAAGAAGATAAAAAGAGAAAGAAGAAAAAGAAGAAGAAGTAGAAAAGACTAAAAAAAGAAAAGAAAAGACTAAAGACTAAGAAGAAGAAGAAGAAGACTAAGAAAAAAAAAGACTAAGAAGACTAAGAAGACTAAGAAGAAGAAGAAGACTAAGAAAGACTAAGAAGAAGAATAAGAAGACTAAGAAGAAGAAGAAGACTAAGACTAAGAAGAAGAAGAAGACTAAGAAGAAGAAGAAGACTAAGAAGAAGAAGACTAAGAAGAAAGAAGAAGAAGAAGAAGAAGAAAAAAAAGAAAAGAAGAAAAGACTAAAGAAGAAAGAAGAAGAAGAAGAAGAAGACTAAGAAGAAGAAGACTAAGAAACTAAGAAGAAGACTAAGAAGACTAAAGAAGAAGAAGAAGAAGAAGAAGAAGACTAAGAAGAAAAGAAGAAGAAGAAGAAGACTAATTAAGAAGAAGAAACTAAGAAGACTAAGAAGAAGAAGAAGAAGACTAAGAAAAAGAAGAAGACTAAGAAGAAAAGAAGAAGAAGAAAAAGACTAGAAGACTAAGAAGAAGAAGACTAAGAAACTAAGAAAAGAAGAAGAAGAAGAAGACTAAGAAAAAGAAGAAGACTAAAAGACTAAAGAAGAAGACTAAGACTAAGAAGAAAACTAAGAAGAAGAAGAAGAAGAAGACTAAGAGAAAAGAAGAAAAGAAGAAGAAAAAGAAAAGAAGACTAAAAAGAAAAAGAAGACTAAGAAGAAGAAAAGAAGAAGAAAAGAGAAGACTAAAAAGAAGAAGAAGACTAAGAAAAAAGAAAAGAAGACTAAGAAGACTAAGAAGAAGAAGAAGACTAAGAAGACTAAGAAGAAGAAGACTAAGAAGAAGAAGACTAAGAAGAAGAAGACTAAGAAGAAGAAGAAGACTAAGAAGAAGAAGAAGACTAAGAAGACTAAGACTAAGAAGACTAAGAAGAAGAAGGAAAAAGAAGAAGAAGAAAAAGAAGAAGAAGAACTAAGACTAAGAAAAAGAAGAAGAAGAAGAAGAAGAAAGAAGAAGAAAGAAGAAGAAGAAGAAGACTAAGACGAAAAGAAAGAAGAAGACTAAGAAAAAAAAGACTAAGAAAAGAAGAAGAAGAAAAAGAAAAGAAGAAGACTAAGAAGAAAAAGAAAAGAAGACTAAGAAGAAGAAGAAGAAGAAAAAAGAAGAAGAAGACTAAGAAGAAGAAGAAAAAGAAGAAGAAGAAGACTAAGAAAGAAGAAGAAGACTAAGAAGAAAAGAAGAAGAAGAAGAAGTAAGAAAAGAAGAAAAAGAAGACTAAAAGACTAAGAAAAGAAGAAGAAGAAGACTAAGAAAAGAAGACTAAGACTAAGAAGACTAAGAAGAAGAAGAAAAGACTAAGAAGAAGAAGAAGAAGACTAAAAAAGAAGAAGAAAGAAGAAGAAGAAAAAAAAGACTAAGAAAAAAGACTAAAAAAGACTAAGAAAAGAAGAAGAAAAGAAAAGAAAGAAAAGAAAAAGAAGAAGAAGAAGAAGAAGAAGAAAAGAACTAAGAAGAAAAAGAAGAAACTAAGAAGAAGAAGAAGACTAAGAAGACTAAGAAGGGAAGAAGACTAAGAAGACTAAGACTAAAGAAGAAGAAGAAGACTAAGAAGAAGAAAAAGACTAAGTAAAAAAAGACTAAAAAAAAAAAAAGAAGACTAATTAGAAAAAGACTAAGTAGAAAAAGACTAAGTAGAAAAAGAAGAAGACTAAGTAGAAAAAGAAGAAGACTAAGTAGAAAAAGACTAAGTAGAAAAAGACTAAGTAGAAAAAGAAGAAGAAGACTAAGAAAAAGAAGAAGAAGAAAAAAAAAAGAAGAAGAAGAAAGAAGAAGACTAAGAAGAAAAAGACTAAGAAGAAAAGAAGAAGAGAAAAAAGAAACTAAGAAGAAGACTAACTAAGAAAAAGAAGAAGACTAAGATTAAAAAGAAGAAGAAAAGAAGACTAAGAAGAAAAGAAGAAGAAGACTAAGAAGAAAAGACTAAGAAGAAAAGAAGAAGAAGACTAAGAAGAAGACTAAAAACTAACTAAGAAGAAAAAGAAGAAGAAGAAGACTAAGAAGAAAAGAAGAAGAAAAAGAAGAAAAAGAAGAAGAAGAAGAAGAAAAAAAAACTAAGAAGAAAAAGACTAAGAAGAAAAAAAAGAAGAAGAAAAAGACTAAGAAGAAAAGAAGAAGAAGAAGAAGAAGACTAAGAAGAAAGAAGAAGAAGAAGAAGAAGAAGAAGAAGAAGAAGAAAAGAAGAATAAAAAAGAAGAAGAAGAAGAAAAAGACTAAGTAGAAAAAGAAGAAGAAGACTAAGAAGAAAAGAAGACTAAGAAAAAGAAGAAGAAGAAGAAAAGAAGAAGAAGAAGAAGAAGAAAAGACTAAGTAGAAAAAGAAGAAGACTAAGTAGAAAAAGACTAAGTAGAAGAAGAAGACTAAAAAAAGAAGAAGAAGAAGAAAAAAGACTAAGAAAGAAAAAGACTAAAGAAGAAGAAGAAGAAGAAAAGACTAAAAGAAGAAAAGAAGACTAAGAAAGAAGAAGACTAAGTAAAAAAGAAGAAAAAGAAGAAGAAGAAGACTAAGAAGAAAAGAAGAAGAAGAAGACTAAGACTAAAAAAAAAGAAGAAGAAAAGACTAAGAAGAAAAGAAGACTAGAAGAAGAAGAAGAAGAAGACTAAGAAAAAGAAAAAGACGACTAACTAAGAAAGAAGACTAAGAAGAAGAGAAGAAAAAGACTAAGAAGAAGAAGAAGAAGAAGACTAAGACTAAGAAAAAGACTAAAGAAGAAGAAGAAGAAAAGAACTAAGAAAGAAAAAGAAGAAGAAGAAGACTAGACTAAAAAGAGAAGAAGAAGAAGACTAAGAAGAAAAAGACTAAGTAGAGAAAAGAAGAAGAAGAAAAGAAGAAGAAAGAAAGAAGAAGAAACTAAAAACTAAAAAGACTAAGAAGAAGAAGAAGAAGACTAAGTAGAAAAAGAAGAAGAAGAAGAAAAGAAGAAAAGAAGAAGAAGAAGAAGAAGAAAGAAGAAGACTAAGAAGAAGACTAAGACTAAAGAAGAAGAAAGACTAAGAAAAAAACTAAGAAGAAGAAAAAGAGAAAGAAGACTAAGAAAGAAGACTAAGTAGAAAAAGAAGAAGAAGACTAAGTAGAAAAAGAAGAAGAAGACTAAGTAGAAAAAAGAAAAGACTAAAGAAAAGAGGAAAAAGAAGACTAAGAAAAAAGAAGAAGAAGAAGACTAAAGAAAAAGAAGAAGACTAAGAGAAAAGAAGAAGAAGACTAAGTAAAAAAAACTAAGAAGAAGAAAGACTAAGACTAAAGAAGAAGAAGAAAGAAGAAGAAGACTAAGAAGAAAAAGAGAAAGAAGACTAAAAAAGAAGAAGACTAATTAAAAAAGACTAAGAAGAAAAAGAAGAAAAGACTAAGACTAAGAAAGAAAAAGACTAAGAAGAAGAAAGAAGAAGACTAAGAAGACTAAGAAGACTAAGAAGAAGAAAAGACTAAGAAGAAAAGAAGAAGACTAAGAAGAAAAGAAAGAAGAATAAGAAGAAGAAGAAGACTAAGAAGAAGAAGAAGACTAAGACTAAGAAGAAGACGACTAAGACTAAGAAGAAGACTAAGACCAAGAAGACTAAGAAGAAAAAGACTAAGAAAAAAGACTAAGAAGAAGACTAACTAAGAAAAGAAGAAGACTAAGAAGAAGAAGACTAAGAAGAAGAAAAGAAGAAGAAGACTAAGGACTGAAAAGAAGAAAGAAGAAGAAGAAGACTAAAAAAAAGAAAGAAGAAGAAGAAGACTAAGAAAAAAGGGAAGAAGAAGAAGAAGACTAAGAAAGAAAGAAGAAGAAGAATAAGAAGAAGACTAGAAAGAAAAAAGAAGACTAAGAAGAAAAAGACTAAGAAGAAGAAGACTAAGAAAAAAGAAAACTAAGAAGAAGAAGAAGAAGACTAAAGAAGAAGAAGAAGACTAAAGAAGACTAAGACTAAGAAGAAAGAAGACTAAGAAGAAGAAGAAGAAGAAGACTAAGAAGAAAAAGACTAAGAAGAAGAAGAAAAGACTAAAGAAAAAGAAGAAGACTAAGAAGAAGAAGACTAAGAACTAAGAAGAAGAAAGAAGACTAAGAAGAAAAAGAGAAGAAGAAGACTAAGAAAAAAAGAAGAAGACTAAGACTAAGACTAAGAAAAGAAGACTAAGACTAAGACTAAAAAGAAGAAGAAGAAGAAGAAGACTAAAGAAAAGAAGAAGAAGAAGAAGAAGACTAAGACTAAGAAGAAAAGAAAGAAGACTAAAAGAAGACTAAAGAAAAAAGAAGAAGACTAAGAAGAAAAGACTAAGAAGAAGACTAAGAAGAAAAAGACTAAAGAAGAAGAAGACTGAAGAAGAAGACTAAGAAGAAGAAGAGAAGAAGAAAAGAAAGACTAATTAGAAGAGACTAAGAAGAAGACTAAGAAAAGAAGAAGAAGAAGGAGAAGACTAAGACTAAGAAGAAGAAGACAAAGACTAAGAAGAAGAAGAAGACTAAGAAGAAGAAGAAAAAAGAAAAGAAGACTAAGAAGAAAAAAGAAGAAGAAGAAGAAGAAAAAGAAGAAGAAGAAAAGAAGAAAAGAAGAAGAAGACTAAGAAGTAGAAGGGAAGAAGAAAGAAGAAGAAGAAGACTAAGACTAAGAAGAAGAAGAAGACTAAGACTAAGAAGACTAAGAAGAAAGAAGAAGAAGACTAAGAAGACTAAGAAGAAGAAGACTAAGACTAAGAAGACTAAGAAGAAGAAGAAGAAGACTAAGACTAAGAAGACTAAGAAGAAGAAGAAGACTAAGACTAAGAAGACTAAGAAGAAGAAGAAGAAGAAGAAGAAGAGAAGACTAAGAAGAAGAAGTCTAAGAAGAAGAAGACTAAGAAGAAGAAGTCTAAGAAGAAGAAGACTAAGAAGAAGAAGAAGACCAAGAAGAAGAAGAAGACCAAGAAGAAGAAGAAGACCAAGAAGAAGAAGAAGACCAAGAAGAAGAAGACTAAAAAGAAGAGAAAATCAGCCATAAACACTTTGGCTGTCCCTGTGGTGCAATACATTTTCAACATCCTTATTTGGACCATAGAGGACATTAAGCAAATGGAAGCCAGAATGAGAAAGCTTCTCATCTCCCTCTGTATGCATTATCCCAAGGCTGATGTTGATCGTCTGTATGTGCCCAGATCTGAAGGAGGCAGTCTTGGCAAGCTATGGAAGATGCTAAGTGACACAATTCACTGTCACAGAAATAAATTGAGTAAAGAATGTTCTTGAATTTTTTTTTTTTTTTTGGCTAACCTGACAAATATTTATCAATATTTATTTTTCCTTAATAGATTTCTTGAATATTCATGTTGGTAGAAGAAAATAAATACAGTGATACCTTGAGGTAAGTCATTTTTGAAGTTGTCGGATTTTCATAAATATTATATGGAAAAATAAAACTTGCCTTAGGTCGTTTACCTTGAGTTTACGTCGGCCATTAAAAATATTAGATGTCAAACACTAAAATAACAATAACCATATAAAATCATATTAAAATAAATTTAAAAATAATATACTATATATACATATATATCTATATATATATATCATAAAATCATCAAAAACAAAAAAAATAACATAATAATGAAGTATGTTCAGCAGATGTCCTTATTTCAAATTCCTGCTGACAGGTGGCAATTGTGCATTGTTTTCTGCTTCAACACCAACTTTGAGTTCAGATTTGTCTACATCTGTGCTCTGCCATTGATTCTTTTTCACTTAAATTTCAGTTGTGATTTAGAATACATTTTTTCCCATAGCGACAAAGAAAAGTCCCAGTGTAAGTGCTAATGCTAAGTGAAAGGATACATTGCTGGAAGACAAGGCAAAAATTAATTATTTTATTTGGAATACTGTATGTACATATCATAAATACTATAATAGGCAATGGAAAGTGCTTATTTGTGGTTTATAGTTTGTTATTTTGACTTAAGTCATTTTTCGACTTTAGTTGTGACCTCTGGAGCCAATTAATGAGGTAGAGTGAGGTATATCTGTAAACAAAACAATAATATTGCTGTCACATATGGTCCAGTGTCCCTGCTATTTACCTTGAGCCCCATAATAAAATCCAAAGAAGAATCTGCAGTATTACTGGTCCTGATCTGGCATCTCATCTCCAATCACTTTCCATCCACCATAAGGTTACTTCTCTGTGCCTTTTCTATAAATACTTTCATGGTAATTTTTAGGATGAGCTTTTCACTGTGGTACTGAGACTTTATTTATTTAAGTGCAGTACTAGACTGGCAATTAAGATTTCATCAAATCAGTTGAGTTGGCTCGATGTAGCTGTAAATTCTATGCTAGTAATTTCTTCACTCGCATTTCTTGCTTGTGGAACTCCATACTAGCTCCATGCTTTCCAGCCAACTTTAATCTGAAAAAATTTAAATGCAATGTCAATTGTTATCTACTGTCTTCCTGATTACTCTTTCCTCTTCCTACTCATTATTAATGTTTCTGTCCCTAATTCTTCCACACCCTGTAAGCCCTTGCGTCTTAGTGGCTTTACTGCCTTGCATGGGGTGATACTAATTTAAAAAAAAATAAATAAATAGGAAAGGATAATCAATGGAATCCTGATCATGTTTTTTTTCCCCAGCCATATTATATCAGGTATTTCTGTTTTAAATTGCATTAATAAAGAGTTTAAATGATTTGTCTCTCATATTCCTATGACAACGGAGACATGCAACAAAGACATTCCCATGTGAACATCACAAAAAATAAGAGGGTTATTTAATTTAATTCAAACTGGGTTGGTGGATGCGATGACCTTTAACATACACTTCCAAGTAATGGCCGCCTATCGCATTTCATTATTTAATGTGTTTATTGAAAGGTTCTTGGTTTTCATCCTCTGACGATTGCATGAATTTTTTTTTTTTGCAGATGCATGCCCGATTTCAGCAGTTTCTCAAGGCCAATCAAATTAAATCCCTATACAAATCGAAAGTTTTTATATTTTTCACTGACTTTTTAAAAAGCGTCGTCCTGCCATCAAATAAATCACTGACTAAACAAAAATTTTACAAACTCACTGCCAAATTGATAATGTTTCCCCTGACAAAAAACATTTCTGAATACAAAATTTATATATATATATATATATATATATATATATATATATATATATATATATTGTATATTATCATTATATTATTATGTTATAATTGTTGGATATGTCAGTGATGGTCATACTTGTTTATTATGAATCCACAGTCACCATATATATATAATATATATACTGCTATATATATATATATATATATATATATATATATATATATATATATATACACACACAAAATATATGTGCATGTTATATCTCTATGTATACATAAATTTTTTTTCACACAATTTACACACAAAATATGCCATTAATTTATATATATATATATATATATATATCTTTTCTATGAATCAATTCAAGAAAAAAGGTAGGTTGTGGAGGGCTCCAATATCATATTTATGAATGATTTGGAATTATAAATTGAAAAGTGCATGGTATAGAACATGAATTTAATATATAAATAGGTTAAACAGCAAAACCATACACTTTTGAACACCGATCATACAGACCTGAAGTCGACTGTGGCACAAAAAGGTTCAAACAATGGGGAACGTTTTGAATTCATAGTTTAAAGAGACCTAAGACCAGTTGCCATCCAAGGCTATAGAACCCAGTCTGTCCTGCTACCGACCCATAGCTGGGAGAGTAGATGAAAGAGATTCAACACACCTTTCCCAAGGGTGGCGAAAAAACATAGTGATATGTAATGGAAGTGAACAGAACTCAGCGATTCCTCAATCGATCCGGAATTCATTTACTGAACCGTGCCTCCTCTTTTATATATATATATATATATATATATATATATAACTTTCATATACCTATTGTCATTATTTAAAAGGCTTAAAAATACAGATTAAAATGTCATCATTGATAATATTCATTATATTAATTTCATCACGTTTAATATTAATGCTTTGTTTCACTAAAATGATATGCAATAAATTCAAATTATATATTTGTAAAATATATTTGTTTCATTAATATTTTTCTTGTGATAACTCCCGGTTGCATTGGTACAAATACAATCAGAATTTTTATATCCTAATTAGTCCACCAAGACGTTTATACAAGACGCAGGTTGTACAGATTATATAAAGGAAAATTTTCGACTGAATTTTAACGGTAACTTTACAGTTTTGCTCAATTGTAATAATTGCTTGTTTTTTTATTTTGTTTTCTCACCTCTGGATGTAATAAAGTTTTTATAGGCTTGTGTTCTTTTTTTTTTCTATTATTTTTCATTTAATTGTAATAATGACTTGTTTAACCTAAATAATACCTCATAAATATAACCTAGGCTGTACTATTTACTAATAATTTTTTCTTGATTTGCCCTGCTGTATACACCCAGGCTAGGAACAAAAATTGCCTGCAGCCCCTGCAACCTCTCTCTGGTGCAATGAGAGGGCACAACCTTGGGCAGTTATTCCTCAAGGCTGAGCACCTCCCAGTATAATTTTCCTCAGTTGTGACTGTCCTTCGACGGAGCCGCCCATGATCACGCTCTGCCCAAAGACAGAGATGCAACTGAGAGATGATAAATAATGTGTTACAAGTCCCTCGAGGGAGAAATTTACACACCAAAAGTTCAATATCTGACATATTATCAACTTCTAGGCAATATCACTTTTCAGTTTTAACTAATTAGTTTGCATATTGATTTAAAAAAAAGTATATTTCATTAATTAACTTTCTTTACTGTTCTTTCATTTGAGGATTGTTTTGATTTTCATATCAAAAACTGTTCGGTTTACGAATATTGTTTTATATACTGCAGTGAAGTGTTTGGAATTTGCATTTTACTTGGCCTTCGACAAGTTGGCATCTGTTTGTAAAACTTTCCTTAACCAAAGGATATTCCAATAACTTGGACCTTTATAACAAACCTGCCCTCACACCCGACCAATTAATATCTTCTGTCTTTACAGTCATATTCTTTGAACAAATATATTGAATGTCCACAACCACTTCAACATTATGTAAATAGTGAACATTAATCCCATAGAAAAATTACCAGATAGTGAGCGGAAAAAGCTTACTAATAATATAAAACTTTAACTATAACATGCCAATTTATGAAAAAAATGTTCATTTAAAATCCTACTTTGCAAAGTGATAGCAAGTAGGCAAAGCCTGCTAGTATATATATATATATATATATATATATATATATATATATATATATGTGTGTGTGTATGCATGTATATCAAATATGTGGTGCAATTCAATTTATATTACAATGAATCATTGATAAAAAAAATAAATTAAGTAAAGTTAATGATATAAATGGCAAAAACTCTTCGCAAACAAAATTTTAAAGTTGCATTAACCTATGAACCACATGATGAATGTTATGATCCTTGTTTTTAGTAACTACAAGCTGTATAAGGTCTTTTTTTAATCTTCAAGTACTTTCAACTGTACATACAGTCATCCTCAGGCATGGAAATTATTTTGTTTTTAGTAAATCCAGGTAGCATTGAAGAGGAAAGATTAAATGCGAATCAAAATATGCTTTTTAGAAATGTGTTGTTAACGGATAAAAACTTTTGGAGCGTGCGGTAGCAACGCTAAGGTTGAATTTTTTTTACTAATATTGTAATTTGAGATTTTTTTTGTTGTAGGAGTTTATCAGTCAATGTGGCATGAACTAAATTGTTCAATAAATAGAGTAACGTCTCAGCTGTTATCCCGAAAATTCGCACACCAGATCAGTTCTTTTAAATCAAATATGTGGTGCAGTTCAATTTATATTACAATGAATCATTCATACAAAAAGGAGATTAATAAAGTTAATGATATAAAATGGTGAAAACTCTTCACAAACAAAATTTTAAAATTGCATTAACCTATGAACCCCTTAATGAATGTTATGATCTTTGTTTTTAGTAACTACAAGCTGTATAAGGTCTTTTTTTAATCTTTTAGTACTTTCAACTGTACATACAGTCATCCTCAGGCATGAAAATTATTTTCTACTTTTTGTATGAATGATTTATTATAATATTATATATATATATATATATATATATATATATATATATATAATTTCGGTGAATCTGATTGACAATCCCTTTTTTATACAGATTTCATTAAAGATAACAGGCATGATACTGTGATTAATCTTTGTATTCAATTTTTTTGTGTTTGCTAAGTCAGTAATTCTCAACATCTGTGCCATAGTACACTAGTATGCCACACAATCCTCTTAAGTATGCCACAAAATATTGTCATGATATACATATATATGTATGTGTGCGTGGAAGTAGTAATGGTACAGCGTTAGTATTTGAATAAATGAATACGTATTAAATTTTTCTTTCAAATAATTCTTTTTGACATACTTTGTTATTTAAAATACATTGTTTTAATAGAAATTATTTAATATTTTCATACAAAAAAAATTTAACTGTTTAAAAACACTTTAACCATTTCTAGTGATTGAGGGCTCAAAATTCGACGGTACACTAAATAAGCTACTCAAATAGGTGAAAAGAAAAGAATTGGCCACCATTTTTACTTATCAAGAGCTCTAAATAAAAAGATTCAACAGTACCAAAAATAAGAAGCGAGAAAGACTACGCTCAAAGGAAGAAGAAATGAGGGTCTGCTTATCACCCTTGATTCATTTTGGATTTCAATACAAAAGGAATATCCCACATTAGCTAAAAAAGGCTTTATCAGTTTTATTGCAATTTTCTACTTCTTATTTATGTGAATTAGGCTTCTCAACCCTAAATAATATCAAAATAAGAAGCAAGAAAGACTACACTCAAATGAAGAAGAAATGAGGTCAACTTATCACCCATTGATTCATTTTGGATTTCAATACAAAAGGAATATCCCCCATCAACTAAAAAGGCTTTATCAGTTTTATTACCAATTTTCTACTTCTTATTTATGAATTTAAGCTTCTCAACCTAAATAATATCAAAAATAAGAAGCAAGAAAAGACTACCTCAAATGAAGAAGAAATGAGGGTCTGCTTATCACCCATTGATTCATTTTGGATTTCAATACAAAAGGAATATCCCACATCAACAAAATTAGCTTTTATCAGTTTTATTGCAATTTTTAATTCATAGAAACTCTGATAACCTAAATAACATCAAAAATAAGAAGCGAGAAAGACTACGCTCAAAAAAAGAAATGAGGGTCTGCTTATCACCCATTGATACATTTGGCTTTTAATAAAAAAGAATATCTTACTAAAAAGGCTTTAATTTTATTGCTATTTTCTAATTCTTATTTATGTGAATTAGGCTTCTCAAGTGCAAATATAAATGAAGAAATATGTGTTTACTTATCTCATATTCGATCAAATTCGATTTGAAGAAATTATGAGAAAACATCAGGCACAGGTTTTACACTAAATATGCTGCATAAATAGTTGAAAAGAAAACTTCAGATCATTTAAACTAATTGTACTGTGCTAAGTGTACCGTGATATTTTTATTTGCTCTGGGGTCTTCTAGCCTTCGTCTCAAGAGGTATAACTGGTAAGGTAGCAAATCATCTGAATTCAAAATTTTCCTTCTACTAGAATGGTTGCCAACCAAGGCTATAGAGCCCCAGTCTTTCCTGTTGTTCTACCCATAGCTGTATGTATGTGTGCGTAATAATATTTCACAGTAAATAAGCTGTACAAATAGTTAAACAAAAACATTGAAATAAATGAAGTTCATATTTGTGTGTATTTTTTTTTAATTGGGGGTTTTATTTCATAGCATTTAAATGTATACCTTTTAAAAATTTTGCTAAGTGTGCCGTGATATTTTCATTTGTTCCTTGGTGTACCGTTGCTTAAAAAGGTTGAGAAACACTGGTAAAGGTGTTTTCTTTTCTGGACATAATGTATGTAAAAGCTGTCTGAATGTTTTATATATCCAAGTGCTTTCAGCTATTCTATTCACCATGATGAAAGATGTGGGTATGTTTATATTTGATGATATTACGTGCGCACCATGTTTGGAAATTAACAAAACACATTCACTTTCCTATATACTGAATATGTAGATTTTGATTTAAGAAACAAACAAAAAAAAAGAAAGAAAAGTAAGGGAGAGGAGAGAACAAAAGTGACAGAGAGAGTAGGGAATGAGAGAAGAGTGGGAGATCATAGGTTCGTTATTGGAGAGAGGGAGAGATCAGTGGGCAACAGAGAGGAGAGAGATCAGTACCGAGGAGAGAGAGAGATCAGTGGGGCAAGGGAGAGAGAGAGAGAGATCAGTGGGCAATCCAGAGAGAGAGAGAGATCAGTGGGCATGAGGAGGAGATCGAGTGGAGAGAGGAGAGAGAGAGATCGATTAAGCAACGAGAGGAGAGAGAGAGAGACTTTTGTTTCTAGAGGAGAGAGATTTTGATTAAGGCAACGAGGAGGAGAGAGAGAGACTTAGGCAGGCAGAGGAGAGAGAGAGAGAGGCAACAGAGGAGAGAACAGAGAAAAAGACAGAGAGAGAGGAAAAAGAGAAAGAGGAGGAAAGAGACGGAGAGGAAACAGAGAGAGAGGAGGAACGAGAGAAAAATATGGAGGGAACCAAGAGAGAAAGAGGAGGGAAATAGAGAGAAAGAGAGGGAACGTAGAGAAAGTAGAGGGAATAGCAGTTGTCGTAAAGAGAGGAAAGAGAGAAAGAGGAGAGAAAAAGACAGAGAGAGAGAAGAGAGAACGAGAGAAAAGAGATAGAGGAGGGAACGAGAGAAAAGAGAGAGAGGAGGGAAAGAGAGAGAGAGAGAGTAGTGTAGTGATCATGTCTCTTTAAATAAAATCCAGAAACAAATGATTTGTCAATTCTGATCATTCAACAAGAACTTGTCAGTGAACATTCAGAAACTTTTACGGGAGCCATGTTTACCAAAAGTTAACATATGAAGAACATTATGATTAACTTGAAACGTTCCCTGTGACCTCAAAAACAAAAATAAATTTGATGTAAGCCAATATGAGTGAGGTTAAAGAAAAAAAAAATTCATATAATCTTCATAAACTGCAGGAAGGAATTTGGAAATATTTTCTATGCATTAAATAGGTTGGTAGGCTACCAAATGATATCTATATGAATTTTGCACATAACTGATTTGGGAATGAGAAAAAAGAAAGAAAGAGAGAGGAAGGAATGAGAGAAAAAGACAGAAAGAGAGAGGAAGGAGGGTGAGAAAAAGATAGAGGAAGGCGAGAAAAAGGAAGGAGGGAGAGAGAGAAAAGAGAGGGGAGGGAACGAGAGAAAAGAGAGGGGAGGGAACGAGAGAAAAGAGAGGGAGGAACGGAAAAGAGAGGAGGAACGACGAAAAAAAGACGGAGGGAAAAGAAAGAAAGAGAGAGGGGAGGGAACGAAGAGAGGAGGGAACGGAAAAGAGGAAGGAGAAAAGAGAGAGGAGGAGGAGAGAGAGGAGGGAGGGAACGAGAGAGGAGGAGGAGGGGAAGAGAGAGGAGGAGGGAATGAGAGAGAGGAGGAGGGAATGAGAGAGAGAAGGAGGAGGGAGAGAGAGAGAGGAGGAACGAGAGAGAAGAGAGACAGAGAGAGACAGAGAGAGAGGAAGAGAGAGAGAGAAGGGACAGAGAGAGAGAAGGAAGGGGAGAGAAGAACAGAGAGAGAGAGAGAGAAGGGAACGGGAGAGAAAAAGACAGAGAGAGAGAGAGAGAAGGAGGAAAAGAGAGAGAGAAGGGAACGAGGGAGAGAAGAAGAGAGAAAAGGGACGGAGAGAAGGAAGAAGAGAGAAAACGGGAGAGAAAGAAAGAGAGGAGGAACGGGAGAGAAAAGACAGAGAGGAGGGGAACGGGGAGAGAAAAGAGAGAGGAGGGAACGGGAGAGAAAAAGACAGAGAGGAGGGAACGGGAGAGAAAAAGACAGAGAGGAGGGAACGGGAGAGAAAAAGACAGAGAGGAGGGAACGGGAGAGAAAAAGACAGAGAGGAGGGAACGAGAGAAAAAGACAGAGAGGAGGGAACGAGAGAAAAAGACAGAGAGGAGGGAACGAGAGAAAAAGACAGAGAGGAGGGAACGAGAGAAAAAGACAGAGAGGAGGGAACGAGAGAAAAAGACAGAGAGGAGGAACGAGAGAAAAGACAGAGAGGAGGAACGAGAGAAAAGACAGAGAGGAGGGAACAGAGAGAAAAAGACAGAGAGGAGGGAACGAGAAAAAAAAGACAGAGGAGGGAACGAGAGAGAAAAAGACAGAGAGGAGGGGAGAGAAAAGACAGACAGAGAGGAGGGAACGAGAGAGGGAGAGAGAGAGAGGAGGGAACGAGAGAGAAAAGAGCGAGAGAGCAGTGTAGTGATTATGTCCCTTTAAATAAAATCCAGAAACAAATGATTTGTCAATACTTTTACGGGAGCCATGTTTACCAAAAGTTAACATATGAAGAACATTATGATTAACTTGAAATGTTCCCTGTGACCTCAAAAACAAAAATAAATTTGATGTAATCCAATATGAGTGAGGTTAAAGAAAAAAAAAAAATTCATATAATCTTCATAAACTGCAGGAAGGAATTTTGAAATATTTTCTATGCATTAAATAGGTTGGTAGGTTACCAAATGATATCTATATAATTTTGCACATGACTGATTTGGGAATGAGAGAAAAAGACAGAGAGGAAGGAACGAGAGAAAAAGACACAGAGAGAGGAGGGAACGAGAGAAAAAGACACAGAGAGAGGAGGGAACGAGAGAAAAAGACACAGAGAGAGGAGGGAACGAGAGAAAAAGACACAGAGAGAGGAGGGAACGAGAGAAAAAGACACAGAGAGAGGAGGAACGAGAGAGAAAAAAAAGACAGAGAGAGGAGGGAATGAGAAAAGACAGAGAGAGGAGGGAAATGAGAAAAGAGACAGAGAGAGGAGGGAAGAAAAGAAAGAGAGGTGGACAGAAAAGAGAGGAGGAACAGAGAAAAAAGATGACAGAGAGGGAATTAGAGAAAAGGAAGAGGAAACAGACAAAAAAGACACAGAGAGAGGAGGGAATAGAGAAAAAGACACAGAGAGGGAACAGAGAAAGGAACAGAAAAGAAAAAGGAGGGTAGAGAGGAGAGAAGGGAAGAGAAAAAGACACAGAGAGGAGGGAAGGGAAGGGAAAAAGACAAGTAGCAAGGGACAGGAGAGAGGAATGAGAGAAAAGAGAAAAGACAGAGAGAGGGAGGAGGAGGAAACAGAGAAAAGGGACAGAGAGAGGAGGGAGAGGAGAGAGAGGAGGAATGAGAAAAGGGACAGAGAGAGGAGGTTGCCGGTTTTGATGATGCTATATGGAGGCCACGTGCTGCCCTGACTATAACCCCCTCTCTCAGCTGGGATTCCATTCCGAATTTTCTGTTTTGATTTACTTCCATGGCCTTATTACATATTTGGATATGACCACAAGACAACGGCAGTTTAAAATCAGGCTTTTCCTTCTAGATGGACTGCCTTCCTGGGCTATAGAGTTCCCTCTATCCAAAGCCGCTGTTTATAAGGCACCAGTTTTCAGTCTTTGCCCATTTTTCAGTTTGGAGCTGGACAGAGTTTATATTGTTAGAGGGTATTTGAAATGCATGCTATGAAAGCGATTTATAGACAGTGAAATGTTGTCCCCATTACCACTGCCAGATATGACAACCTTAAGATACATAATGTATAAAATATGTAAATGTATAACTGGAACATGTTAAAAAGCTAAAAGAAAAAAAAAAGAAATACAAGCCTAAAAAAGAAAATGTTTGAAGTCATTTAGTAATAAAATACTCTACATTTTTAGTACTTTCTAAAAGGCTATATATATATATATATATATATATATATATATATAAAAATTCGCAAGAGGATAGAATCCAGGTAGAGCTCAATGTCCAGGACAGAGCAAGAATATAATATAAAAGGCTCAAATACTAATATTCCATGATGATAATTTATTACATTGGAATCGTAATCACAATCCAATTATTCAAACCTATAAATTCAAAAAGAAATTGGAAAATTTAACTTGAGGACACATGGTACAGTGAATACACTGACAGGACCCAAAGAGTGTGAGTTCAATACCTGGTTAAAGTGATGGAGAACTTGGAGAGGGAAATTAACAAGAGATAACTGATAACTGGCATCCATTAGCCACAGCACGTGGAACCAGAGCAGTCTACCCTAGTGAGCGAAATAAAGGCTTCAGTTTGACATTCTAACTGCTTGGAGGTCGGAGCGTACAATGGCCGAAATGTAATAAACATGATGACAAAAATGAGGACAATAGTCCATATGATGTAAATAGTGATGATTTCTCATGCAACTCAGAGAATTTAATATACATAATTGTCCTATATGTAGCCTCCTTTGTAAATCTCTAGCGGGTCGTAAGTGCCACTTCAGATTATCGCACAAAATTTCATGACTGAATCAATTGAGTTGGCAGATCTTCATATGTCAAAACCGACAGGAGTGTCCATTATTTTATATATATATATATATATATATATATATATAGTATAGTATAGTGGCTCGGATTCAGAAACTGGAGAGACAAGTTTTCATTCCAGTCATTTCCATTACATTCACTTATGTGCTAATATCCTTGGCAAAGGTATGAATCCATCTCAGCTGTCAATATACCACGTATCACCCTTGAGCGCTTAGCCTTGGAGCGGGTAGAATGGAGATCAACATGTTTTAGTGGACTCAGCAGTTTTCAATCTGCTTGTCTGAATCATCTTCAAGAAGAAAGAGCAAGATCTAAAAAGGTCAGCCAATCTAACAGTGATCTCATCCCACAATCCCTTTCTCTTGTTCCATATGTGGGCCTCCTTTAAATGCAAAATTCGAGGTCTTAAGTGCCACTTTGAACCATTGCGCAAAAATTTCATAACTGAATCAATTAAGTTGTGAATCTTCATGTCGAAAACCAATGGAAACCCATTATATATATATATATATAAAATATATATTAAATAAATGATAAATAAATATATAAATATATATGTAAAATGTATGTAAAATGTGTGTGTGGAAATAAAATGGAGTGGGTGTGTGTGTGGAGTGTGTGTAGATGGTGTGTGTGTGTGGTGTGTGTGTGTGTGTGTGTGTGTGTGTGTGTGTGTGGTGTGTGTGTGTGTGTGTGTGTGTGAAATAAATAAATAAATATATATATATGTGTAAATAAATATATATATATATATATATATAAATAAATAAATATATATAAATAAATAAATATATATAAATAAAATATATATAAATAAATATATATATAAATAAATATATATATAAATATATATAAATATATATATATATATATATATATATAAATATATATATATATATATATATATATAAATATATATATATATAAATATAAATATATATATATATATATATATATATATATATATATATATATATATATATATATATATATATATGAAGAAAATTTGGAAAAACAAAACAAAAATCCTTAAATGCAATTATGTTGTTTTAAAATGAATGAAATATGGACATCTGACGTTTCGGTTTAATAAACCTTTTCAAGACAATATTCATTAAAATACAATTCAGTTCAATTTAACAAAGACGATGGACATAAAAAAAAAGTCTTATCCAAAACAGATAACTGAAAATTTTAAAATGATCAGCTTTCGTTTAACATAGTCACGTTGTCGTCACATAGGCGACGCTTTCAAAACGTATTCCTAAAAATTTTGTGATTATTTTGAAATGAAAAAGAAAATGAAAAGAATTCTATTAGGATCTAAAATTTTTGTGTATGCTTGTCAAGCATTAATCTCGCTAAAAAAGGGAAATATTAAAGAAACCGGTCTAGTATTCACCGTGCGTGAGATGGATATTATACCTGCTTCATAAATCCTCCTGAGATTTTTTTATTATGAAAATATTTTAATACCTTCACGGAATCGAAATCGAATTATGATCTGCTTTAGTTGTGTGTAAAAAAAGCATTGTTAAAATTTCCGAGGCGAATATCTCGTTTATGTTCGAAAAACACAAGATTTTACGAACCTACATGTTTTCACCCACATATTTTAGGTCACAATTTTTGCATGATATTTGATAGATGCAAGCATCGGATGTAATATGTTGTCTGCTGGTGCTATTTAATAAACTACGGATAGTCCTAGTAGGTAATATAGTAGTTCTAATTTTTAATGCATTTAGATTATGAGAGATACGTTCGGTCAAATGGTTATTTGGTAAAAAGATGCGACCAAACGAAATATTATCAGAGGCAACTGAAATTGTATCTTTCATTGATGTAGTTGTAGTGGCCTTCGAGGTGTCATTTTGCGCTGATGAGTGAATTTTCAACGCTTTATTTTTAGCACTCTGTAATAATTATCTCGGATACAAAAGATTTGAAAAGGTATCCTCAATATATGTGAATTCATCATTTAAATATTTTGATGAACAGATGCGAAGAGCCCTTAAATAGAATCCAATAACAATACCCCTCTTAGTGTTAGTATCATGGTGAGAGTAAAAATGTAAATAGTCATTTTTACATGTAGGTTTACGATATACTTTGAATTCTCATTTATTTTTATTTTTAATGAGTAGTATGTCTAAAAAAAGGTAAGGAATTATTAGATTCAAGTTCATAGGTAAATTCTATAGTAGGTGCTATTCTATTTAATCTATCAGGAATATTGTTTAAATCATGCTTATGTGGGTAGATAAATAAAATGTCATCGATGTATCGAAAGTAATGTGTATCAGGTGGAATGACATCTTTAAAAGGTCCAGATTCAAGAAATTCTAGAAATATGCATGCTAGGAATCCAGAGAGAGGACTCCCCATCGGTAAACCAAATTTTTGTTTATAATAAATATTATTATATTGGAAGAAACAATGTGAAGTGCAAAGGATGCATAATTTGATGCATTTTGAGATAGAGATAGGTAGCTTAAAGTCAATTTTCTGTTTTGGATAAGACTTGTTTTTTATGTCCATCGTCTTTGTTAAATTGAACTGAATTGTATTTTAATGAATATTGTCTTGAAAAAGGTTTATTAAACCGAAACGTCAGACGTCGACATTTCATTCATTTTAAACAACATAATTGCATTTAAGGATTTTTGTTTGTTTTTTCCAAATTTTTCTTCATTCTGTCGGATTTATATCCATTTACATTTGCTTACATATATATATATATAAATATATATATATATATATATATATATATATATATATATATATATATATATAAAAATATAAAGAAAGAACAGTAAGATATATAATCCGTGTTCTTATAGATATTTTTTATTTTACAAAATAGTGCTCAATGTAAATTTACAGAGCATTAATATTATAAATTAATTGATGAGCTGTGAGTAATAGAGCGAAAGTATGTCTGGATGACACACATGCACACATTATATATACATATATATATATATATTTGAGTAGCACATATTCAGCTAAACAGGTTTGATTAAAAAGAAGTAACAAGGTGTGTCTAATTTTTTTTATTATACTTAACATCTTACCCAGAAGTTGGAAAAGTATTATGTTTGAAGTTTTGGATAAACTGTCTGAAGTTCATATTTATTTTTTTGTTAAAATCTACTACACGGACACTACATCAATTCTTGATAATGACTCAAAAGTTAAGAGTACTTGAACAAAAATAAAAAATATATGAACTTCTGACAGTTTTTATCCACAACTTTGAACATAAAACTCAACAGGTTATTCAAAAGTTGGAAAAGTATAATAAAAAAGTAAACAGACTTTGTCGGTTCTATTTAATCCGACATGTTTGGAGATATATACACATAGATACATATATATTATAAATTGATTTAAAATGTTTTTTTTCGCTACACAGTTCTAACCATGTATCAAAAATAGAAGCTAAATTATATATCTTACTGTTCTTTCTTTTTATTTATATATATATATATATATATATATATATACACACATATATATATATATATATATATATATATACACATATATATATATATACACACACACACACACACACATATATACACACACACACACACACATATATATACACACACACACACACATATATACACACACACACACATATATATACACACACACACACATATATATATATAGATATACACACATGCACATATACACACACACATATATATACACACACACACTCACATGCACACATATATAAATACATATATACACACACACATATATACACACGCACATACACTGTATATACTCGTGTATCATGCGAGTTTTGAAGACCTAATTTTGAAGCTAATTTTAAGGGGGTCACATCATACATGATATATAAAATTAGCATATGTACTGCTGGCACTGGCTACACCAATCACCAAACTATATATCAATTTACTGCAGTCAAAAAGTACAGCTGTATTTAAAATAAACATTGCATGTTACACAAATATATACGGCATATTATTCGTAACTTTGATGTATAGGACGGAAGCAGTTTTTGGGGAAAGTCTTTATACACTAAAATATACAATACTTGAGTGTAAAATCCTACTACAGAGGAATTTTAGCTTGACACACACCTGTTCCAGATACTCATCAGTCTATCAGTTACGTACTGCCATACGTGACACATTCTTGGGCGATCTTGTCTCTTCTGAATCATGACTGACAAGAGAAGATTTTTCCACAATGTTGCAGTTTCTTTCTACAGTAGACTGGTTGCAAATCAAAGCTATAGGGCCCAGTCTGTCTTGCTATTTAACCCAAAGATGTGTAAGTGAATCTAATGAACCTGATTGGAACTTGAACCTGGCACTGATTTCTCAATCCGAGGCGATATCCATTACAGTTCAGCACACAGAAAGACATACGAAATGAATAAAACAGAACTGCCCAGTCCTCTATTCTCAGTCTTGATTGAGTTCAAAATCATCTTTGTGTCCTTGTGAGTGACAAATTAATTTTCACCTTCCACGACAGGCAGGATGTGGCGAGCCTCTCGTTGCGCTATCGCTACTACCATCGAAAGTGCTCGGGTGAACTACATTCCTTGGTTCCATCTTGTCTAACCTCACGGCTAGGACCCACCATGCCACTTACATAGTAGCAAACCACCCACATTCCCCCCGTATTCCATCAGCATGAAGTAAGTTCCACTCAAACAGATTCTTCTCACAAACCACCGTCCTGTGGAACTGACTCCTAAGAAGAGGTTTCCTTTGATCAATACAATTTTAACCTGTTCAAGTCTAGAGTTAACTGCTATCTTCCTCTCCTATCCGTATAAACTATTCCTTAATGTAACCATCTTGAGTAGACCTTACCTTAAAAAAAAAAAAAAAAAAACTTACCTAAGCCAATTTTATAGAAACCAATTCCGATGATAATTAACAAGGCAATTATTTTACTGATGGTGATGATGACTTGTAATTTGGTGACTAATTTCACATTGATGCAATTCAAGGCAATCAGCAGCACTGAAAAAAAAAAAAAAAAAAAAAAAAGGAAGGAAACAATGAAAAGAAACATTAAAACATTATTGGAAAATACAAAAACTTAAGGAAACACATATGCTGAGCCACAAAAATCTCCTGAGCCGACCAAGCATAAAAATGAATACAGTATAGGAACCAGTAATACTGAGGGCTAGAGAAAAATAATAACAAATAAAAAATTGTGTCTGTCTATATCTCTGAGATGAGGTATTATGATTACTTGCATTATTTACATTGCCATATTCACTACATTTCAACCATTGTATGCTCTGGCCTTCTTCAGGTGATTGGAATAATAATAACAGAAAAATTGCAATATGAACACTGGTAAAAATGGATGCTGAGACATTAGGTTTATAAGTCCCAGAAATTTTTAAAATGTTTTTTTTTTTATAGTAAAAATAGCATCAATACGTTTATCTAAAAAAAAAAAAAAAAACACAAAACAATAACGTCTGATGCAACTTTTGAAGACTTAATTTTGATGCTAATTTGTAAATGGGGATATAGTTCGGTCAACGGTATAACCAGGGTCTGCAGTATATACTCTAATTTTAAATCTCGTGTATAATGCGATCCCCTTAAAGTTAGCTTCAAAATTAGGTCTTCAAAAGCCATGATATGAGAATATATACAACAGACAGACAGATAGATAATAAACAGACAGATAATGAACATAGATAGTCTGGTCAATGGCACAGCCAAGACCAGCAGCACATTTGCTAATTTCATACCTTGTGTATGATGCAACCCTTTTAAAATTAGTTTCAAAATTAGGCCTTCAAAAGTCGCATGACACATAAGCATATACGGTATGAACAATACGTTCTTCTAAAAAAAAAAAAAAAAAAAATTACCGACACATTTTTATTGCAAGATGGAAGTCAATACATTTTTATCGCAAGATGGACATCAGTAAAACACTAAAAAAGTACAATGTACTTCTATAAAAAAAAAATTACCATCAATACATTGTTTTTAAATTACCAATATCTACAAATCATATCTAAAAAAAAACATATGCTTGCCCATAAAGTATAAACTATCTGTTGTTGAAGACCTCAAATTATATTAAAAATATTTAGATTTCAGTATTAAATAGCCCATAGAGATGCTGATATGTTACTAAACAAAAATCAACCAACCATTATTAAAAAAGACAAAAGAGAAAAGATAATAATGGACAATCTTAAGCAATACTATAATTTCAGCAACGAGGGAATTATAACATGTATAAATGATTATTCAACTAAAACTCTTTTCTACATTCAAAAGTGGTAACTATCTCAGCATTTAAATCACAGCACAGGATTAAAAGGAAATAATATTGACATTTTAATTTATATTCAGAAAAACTAACAATACTAATGGTAGACATGGTGGGATAATAGTGGCTCAGATTGAGGAATTGGAGAGCCGAGTTCAAATTCCAGTAGAGTTCATTACATTCATGTGCTAATACTCTTGAGAAAGGTACGAATCCATGTCTTCTCTCCCCAGCTACGGGTAAAATAGCAGGACAGCCTTGGATGGCAACCAGTCCAGGCAAAAGAAATGCTGAATTTAAACTGGATTGCACTATCCTAAAATGTGTATCCATATGGATGGGGACCACTTCTGAATATAAATTCTCACTGAAACTCCTATGGATTTGCCTATCCAAACTCTATGCTTGATCAGATTTTGTTCAGATACAGTGGGTTCATTTGACAGAGCCAGCTCAACTGGCCAAGTAAATACTGCAACAGGTAGACGTAACGATTATAAATTACAATATTCTATAACTTGCCGCATATTAAGCAAAACTAAAAATGTTTCTTGTTTTGATTGCAATTTCACTCATAGTATTTTATTGCATCTGTAATTCTCTCAAACAAAGAAATGCAGGTTAGACTAAAGCATATGAGAAAAGAGGGCTTGGAAAATTTGATACTCACAGGACAGATTGAAGACAAGAGCAACAGAGGAAAACAATGCAAAACAAACCTAGTGAGCTTGAGTAATGGAACAAAGTTTAGGAGAGATAAAAAGACAGAATTTATTAAAAGCTACAAAAGACAGGAAATTGTGGAGAGCCATGACTGCCAATGTCCTGAAGGAACATGGCACATAGCAGAACTTGTGTGAATGAATGGGGGAACAAGGTTGAGGAGAGATAACAAAAAGACAAAAGTTATTAAGAGCTACAAAGGACAGGAAGATGTGGAGAGCCATGATCTTCTGAAAGGACATGGTATATAGAAGAAAATTTTAAAAATCAGAATTCTTTTGTGCTACAATTACTCGGGTAGAATATACAGTGTAACCATAAAGTAGGTATCTCCAAAGCCATAATTGCCAATGTCCTGAAGAGACATGGTGTATAGAAGATTTTAAAATCACAATTCTTTCTTACAAAGAAATGCAGGCTAGACAGAATTCTCCAGCCTTGATTGTCACTCAGTCTGGGAGAAAGGTAATTCTTAATTCTAAAGTGTGAAGAATGCAAAGAAACAACTTTATGCCTAATAATGGAGACACAACCTTTAAACAATTTCTTAGTAGTACTATGAACATACAACAGGGCTTTTCTCTGGCTTCCACTGAGCGGACAAATCAATCTCCACATTGTGTTTTGCTTTTCATTTCTGCTGGTGCATACATAGATTGAAAAAGACTCATGGCACATTCACAAGAAACAGAAATTGAAAACAACAATGAAGTCAGGAATTTTGTTCACAATAATATGTTTATTTCAAGAAGATTCCCAGTCGGATCTAGTATTCTCTATGGTAGTCGGTAGGTGGCAGAATAGTAACTTCAACACCTCTTATTTCAGCTGAGCAACTGTTACCGACATGACTGGTTGAACAGACAGCTCCCCTCTCTACTTTTATAGCAGGTCTGTGGAGTCAGAACACAAAACCTTCAAGTCTGACTCCTATTTTTGGCACCTCCCACTTCTCTTTATGTAATTAAGTGATTATGGCCTAAAAATCTCATGAAGCCTAACTTGAGTAGGCCTATATCATTAGAACTGGTTTATATCAAAGAATAAAGATATTGTGGCTTTTATATCATACCTATTTATTCTTTAATATTTTCTAACAGAATTAGAAATAAAATCTTTGAAAGGATACAGAAGAAATAACAATATCCCTGCTATAATGTATAGCGTGTGTGTGTGTATATATATATATATATATTCTTTTTTTAAAAATATGATACAACCGCAACACAAAAAATTTCTATGTTTCAAAACTAAAGCTAAATTTATGAATTTAATTATTTTTATAATTAAATTTATAAATTTAGTTATCGGTTTTCAATCAGAAATTTTTAAACTTAAAATCCATTTGTATCAAGCAGTTTTTTGAAAAATAAAAATAATTTATATACTTTTTTTTTTTTTTTATAGATACAAATATTTAAGTAAATGCTCTATTAATAACATTTACCGGCCTGAATTGGTAAAAGCAAGTCAGGCTATATGACAGTTCCGTATAGGATACAGGTTCCCAACAGGAATCGAACCTGTATCCTATACAGAACTGTCATATAGCCTGACATGCTTTTACCGATTTCGCCACAGAGGAGCGTTTTGGATAGTAAAGTTGATTTTACTGTTTTTAAACTACAATTTTCCATGATTTTCTCATGTACATTCATATCTGCTCAACGTGTATCCAAATGTAAACAAATAATATCACACATTATGAAATGGGCAAAGTCCGACAATTATTTTAAGACATTTTCATGTTTATACATTTTTTTTTATAGATAATTTTGCATATAAACATAAAAATGCCTTAATACAATTGTTGGACTTTGTCAATTTTATAATGTGTGATGTCATATATATTATTTGCAAATAAGAAATAAGTACAGAACCATATAAAACTACTTTATAACACGACTTGAAATTTTTACAGGATTTAAAAGATAACAAAAATAAAATTCTATAATGTAAGATTTTTTTTTTTCTTTTTTACATATATAGTTTTGCAAATACAATAAATACAAAAAATAAAATGACTTTAAAAAAGAAGTTGAGATGAATTTCTTTAAAGGAAATAGTAAATATACAGTAGAAGAAATAATAAAAAATAAAAATTCTATAATGTAAGACTTTTCATATAAAGTGTAAATTCAACTGGAGTCAGTCCAGTGACCCCTTAAGTGCTTCCAACTGACACGAATGCCCAGTTATATTGGGGTGACAAGCAGAAACATCTGGTTTTGGACAAAGTGCCACTTGACACTTTTTTTTCATTTATCTATTTTCATCCCCTTTTACTAAAGTGGTTTTACCACTTTGAACCCCAAACTTCAAAGACTATCTGCCAGCCATTACCCCTCCACAAACATTTCTAACTGATAACATCATTTATGGTCCACTTGACTTTATGTATGTTCAGCTGGTTGTATAGGGGGACATTGTGTCAGAGTACAAAATTTAAGTATAGTATGAAAAGTGGCGACATATTGACGATAACCATAAAAAAGACAAAAGCAATATAAATTCTCTGCATGGCCAGTTTTTCAATCAATCTTTATCAAACAAATTCTGATAGATTTAATAGATTAACACTAGAGTGGCAGGCTCTCTGTGTTCTAAAATGTCAAATTCCATGTTTTTCTGTGATGGTAAATTTAAATTTTCCATTTTTGTTTCAAAATCATAAAAACATGAAAAACTGAGACTTGTGCGTAAACAGCAAATTATACACCTTACTTTTCTAGGCATCTTTTATTTATTTTTTTTATTTATTTTTTTTTTTTTGTGCTTCAGCGATTTCTGATGATCCACAAGTGTGTTTCTCAGAGTCCAATCTTTGGTGCGTTGGCAAAAATGCAAAATAATTTATCAACATCATGATAAAAATCATCACAGAAAGCTGACTCTTCAGCTCTGTATTTTGCTGAAAGTGTGCACCCACCAAGTTTGATAGGTTTTCGTTTACTCATTGTTAAACAGCATTTAGAAATCTAATTAATAACTA